ATACTCTGTTTTTAACACAAGAATGGCTTAGAGGGAGAATAATTGTTGCCTGTGTGTTGTTTAAAACTGTAATCAGGATTATTCCAGCTATATATGGCAGCGGTCTGCAAGGAATCGAGCCGGGATCAGATATTCCAGTGATTGACATCATGAGCATCGATCAACGCAATTGGGATACAATGACATGCATCAATCAAATCAGCGAGCCTGCCCACCCGATCCCATTAACCGCATTTTACGACGAGCATGGGTTGCTGGGGACTTATTCTTACCCGGATCTTCACAGATGGGTAGCTTAGTGGTTAAGGCGCCCTCTCGTCACCTCGAAAACCCGGATTCCAGTTCCCACATGGGTACAATGTGTTTATCCCATTTTTGGAGTCCCCGCTGGAATATTGCCAAAAGCCCTTTATACCCAACTCACTCACTCACTCACCGATGACGTATAAACCAACCACGGAGTTCGTCTTGTTCAAGCTCGTGTGAACCCAACGGGGTACCGGGGTGAGAATAGTTCCCCAGCAACCTATGCTGGTCGTTAGAGGCAGGGGGCATGGGTGGCCCAGTCGTCTTACGCACCGCGATTCGCTGTGCAGATTTGCGTCCCTTGGGCACGCCAGAAACCTATGATTGTGGTTCGAATCCCGGTTCGCCCCGATTATGTTTCTAGGTCTGTCAGCACCATACCCGTGCTCGTGGGTTTCACCGAAGTGGTAAACGTCGGAGACCTGCATCACTTGGGCATTCATCCCACATTAAGCTGACACGCCGTGATATAACTGGAATACTGTTAAAAGCAGCCTTAACTCCAACACACTCACTCACGTAAGAGGCGACTCAAAGGATAGGGCGGTCAGGCTCGGTGACTGGCTTTACTGCCTGTCTGTCATCGTACCCCGACAACGTGGATCCTTGCTCAATATGTCACTGGATTCTGTCTTTGACTCGATTAATTAAAGTCCGCCGTCACACAGCTGGAATGTGTCGTTAGTGATAAATCATAAACCTATTAATTTTGATTTTCTTTGTTTAAATACGCATGAATAAATTAGATATCCCAACTATAATAACACATATAATGTATGTAGCCCTTTCAGCCTACGTACACGTATGTCTTTACATGTACAGTAAACTACGGTTATAACGAACTCAAAGGGACCACTAATTTTAGTTTGTTATAACCGTAGTTCGTTATAGGCAAATATACAGCATAACTACAGAAAATTTTAGGGACAAAAAAGTAAGTTCGTTATATCCGTCAGTTCGTTATAAGCGTGTTCGTTATAACCGTAGTTTACGTGTCTATTCTTACAGTTTGAATGCAGACATGAAGTTTACAAGAGCTCTTCAGCAGTGAGCAATGAATAGATGTGTACGAAGCCTATTTGGGTCTCTGCTACTGTTATATATAACGCATTCATAGCCAACTGTCCTTGCCTCGAGTGATACTGTCCTGATGTACAAGGGTTTCATATTAAAGTAATATAACCACTATAACTGATAAACGATGTTTTAATAGTACCACTTTAACATTTATTCTCTCAATAACGACTTTATTCATGAAATAACGACCTTAAAGAACTCGTTATTACAACTTTATTCTCGTAACAACTTAAGTCTCTTTATTACGAGTTAAAAAACATTTTTAGCTACGGTTTTTACTCAAATAGGCTTTCGTAGCTATGCAACATCTCGCTTATTGTAACTTAAGACATGTATCCGTGTTACGGGGCAATGCGACATGCGACTCACGTGATGCAGCACACGGACAGATGTTGACAAGAGGTTACCTGAAACAGCATAGACGTAAATATATTTTTTAAAAGTCTTCTATCCAATAGACTAGATACGAGAGAAAAAATCTTTTGAATACCTGTCAAACTGTCAATACCCAACATGAATGGTATGTGAGTAAATTCTCAGTGGCTCAAACAGTGCGCGCATGGATACTATCTGCCAACAGAGGGCCCCGACAACACCATTTCGGACTAGTGGTTGTGTATGATAACTAGATTTTGGCAGAAAAAAACTAGTCCTTCTAGATTTTCACAAGTTTCACTAGACTGGTCGTGACTATATATATCCTCCGTAACCACTCTATCCTCGTCATAGCGCGGTCTTACAAGCATGGGGTGATTGGGACCTATGCAGTCCCGGGTGTAAACATTGTGAAGAGTTTGCTAACTGGTTTGTTTAGTTTGACAAACTGTTGTCGAAAAATAGAATCAGTCTCTAGTCTCACAAATATTTTGGCCGGGGGCACGGGTAACCCAGTTGTCTAAGGCGCCGCAATTCGCTGTGCGGCGTTAAACACACCTCACTCACTCAATATTTTGGCCAACATTTTAGTGTTTTCAAACTCGATTTTGGCGTGTGAATGGTCGGAAAAGCATATAGAGGCGTGAAGTACCCCACGTCACAATAAGATTCGATTGACGTCAACAATGCCGTCCGGATGACGTAAACAATACACTGTTGTCTTGTGACGTGATATGACCCTAGGGCACGTATGGTTTTTTATTACCCACGTGGTGAAGATACAGGTGGTAAGATACTAAATCCGTACGTCACACGTGTGTCGTACAAGGTTGACCTTGTTTTATTCGTTTTGATTGGATAACCGTGACCTCTGTCACACCGGGATTACTTTTTTCATTCATAAAAAATCGCGAGACGTCATTCATTTTGCAACTACAAGGAAGAACTGAAGAAATTAATGAGAACGAGAGGTATTTACAAACACTTTATTGAACCAAACAAAATAGTCACACGCATCAGATTTGTTTTGCATTATATATAAGTTATGCATAGATCTAGAGCTTCTACAGACATTATATAATCGAGCTATATCTATTTACAATGTACGACTACCGATCAATAGAGCGAGGGTCACCATGAGCGTGACGCACCCGACCGTTGTCGCAACTTTCAATTTGATTTAACGTAAAAGGATAAGCGTGGTGAAATGAAGTCTGTTTAAACTATCTGGACAGATATCCAGACTTACTTGGGATGATCCGGTTGTGCCATCAGTGTCCCCCTCGAAGTGTATTTTGTGGCGCTGTTTCGGGAGGTGTTGTTAATGAATGAACGTACACGAGTGCACGACCAGATCACTAAAAGTGAACAGTTCTGATACAAATAATTCGAAAACTCCATGGAAGTGTGCCTGACTTCTGATTTTGTGGCCCCAAACATTCCAAATGTGAACAATAACACTCCCTATCTCCAGCGTAAAACGCTGTGAGAAGATCACGGTTGTCTTTTCTTATTCCGGTGGTGACCTTGCCCTTCGATCGTTCGAAGCTGTCACTGACATGCAAGCAGACTTGAGTTTGTTGATTTTCACGTCTTCAGTATAGGGTGGTACAGTAAACATGAATGTCTTTGGCGAACAATTCGATTTCCCTCTTCCAAAATGGTACGAACATGATATAAATTCAGCTGATAGATCAAGGAAACCAAACCATTTTGATTGCACAGACGGGACACCGGCAGTGCGATCGAGTGGCCGACTGTTAGTCCGATATTCAAAGCGCGTCGCTAATGTGACTTTTCAAATTTTCTTATAGGTGTCCTTCGTACTTACAACATTGCGCTTGAATTACCATAAGTTTCGCTCGGTCAGATACCTTAGAAAGTCCACTCGTGTCGTAAAAATGGTATCTAACGTGAATGAGTGTAGTATTCTCTATTTATGAACCCAGATATGTTTGCCTTCGTAGGTAATAAAATAATGTATGAACTGTCAATATCCCCATATAAGTTTGAGTGGTATCGATAGTCTCCACAATCCAAATGACAGTCACAACCATCTTTCCACATTTCATTCACACACCCTGCACGTACGCGTCTTATAGATGATCCCCTTTTGCCACAAGACGTACGGTTCAAGAGAATAATTTCATCTGGTCTTCGTGCTCGGTGATTTAGATGATTGCTCACGCTATCACCCCCAGGTTTGTGTGGCCAAGACTCGTTCATTTATAGGCCGCCGCGGTTTGGTTGGAATATCACTCTCCCACACTTTCTGACCCTCGAGCATATATTTTATAAAATAATCCCATTTTCATCCCAGTTTCCGCTCTAGCATCCACCACTTTTCCAATACCCTTCCGTCCTTCAGCTTTAGGGGGCACGGGTGGCCCACTCGTCTAAGGCGCCGCGATTCGCTGTGCAGAGTTGCGTCCCTTGGGCACGCTAGAAACCTATGATTGTGGGTTCAAATCCCGGTTCGCCCCGATTATGTTTCTAGGTTTGTCAGCACCATACCCGTGCTCGTTGGTTTCACCGAAGTGGTAAACGTCTGACACCTGCATCACTTCTGGCTTTCCTCCCACATTAAGCTGACACGCCTTGATATAACTGGAATATTGTTAAAAACGGCGTTAAACCCAACTCACTCACTCACTCTTCAACTTTCCTTCCTTAACGGTACTATTTCACCACACCTTCTCAGCTACTTGCGGGGCCTACTACAGTACATACTGTATGACATTTGCTCACATCGAACTGAATGTAGACCGCCTCCGTGGTCTAGTGGTCTACACTTTTCCGGAGAGCGGAAGGTCGGCGGTTCGATCACTGGCAGCGCCATACCAAAAGAGCTAACAGAAGGTACGTGTTGTTACCCTGCCTGCGCTCCACATTAAGGGATGAAACAAGGACTGGTCGGCTCGGAGTCAGTATACTGTGTCTGAGTGGGGTGTCCATGTTATACTGCGGCATGGTATCTCAGTGGGCGAGCTCTATAAAACCGCCTTTTTTTAGAACAAGTAGAAGCGCGCACGCACGCACGCACGCACGCACGCACGCACGCACCAAGCACACACACACACACACACACACACACACACACACACATATATGCAGGCATGTCACTATATCTGTTCTATAATCATGAACCAAATTTCACCCCACCCCGCACTGTGTACTGAAGGTGGTCCTTGGGATTGTTTAGTTGCTAGAACTGAAGTAGAAGCTTGTGCTGCAAACAACGCACTCATTTAGCAGTGTGCATATATAGCAGTCCTGGTGTCGTGTGAGTGACAGGATGACAGATGAACGCGGACACACAGACAGATGGCAATGACGGGACGCAGACCATCCAGCCTTTCACAGCCGAGGCTTGATTCTAGTCTCCTTAATCATCGTGTTTTCTATGCAGGGTTCGATATGGATTAATCTGCCGTGGCAACGAGTAAAGAGGCGATTATTATTCCTTGGAATACATAATCGGACTGCGGTGTTTGGTGGAGCGAGCTGAGCCTTTAGACGGCGTCTGAGGGAATCACCCCTTCTCTTTATGTCACAGCACGATGTAGAGGCGTGCTTGAGGTCAACGGCTCTGCTGACGTCATGGTAGACGTGGTGATTGGATTCCTGTCGTAATGTAAGTTGTTACGTTTTCACAGATTGTTTTGTACTTGACGTATCTGTTCTGTATCTCTAGACTATGTAAAATGGCGTATTTAATACGTTATGGTCTTGCAATGCAGACCAGAATCTGGAGTACGTTGCGAGAAGTCTTGTAACTTGATGTGGGATACATATTATGATATAGGTAGAGTACGTTGCGAGCAGTCTATTATTGTTTGTTTTGTTTGTTTGTTGTATTCCAGCTATGTGACGGCGGTCTGTAAATAATCGAGTCTGGGCCGACAATCCAGTAAGCATCGATCCACGCATTTGGGATACGACGACATGCATCAACCAAGTCAGCAAGTCTGACCACCCGATCCATTAGACGCCTCTTACGACAAGCAGTCATTTTTTACGGGAAGCATGGGTTGCTGAAGACTTATTCTAACCCGGATCTTCACGGGTCGAGCAGTCTATTAACAAGATGTGGGATAAAGATAGAGAACGTTGCGAGCAATCTTGTACGAATACGTGTGAGATACAGATCAAATAGGTAGAATACGTTGCGAGCAACCTTGTTGATATATGTGGGGTACAGATAGACAGAGCAGTCTTGTAACTAGGTCTGCTATATTGATAAGATAGAGTAGGTTGCGAGCTCCTTTCTTTTGTTATGAATGGAGGGTTTCGAATGTCCCTGACCTGATAAAGATACAATGGCTACAGCAATCAATCAGTTTGCTCGTGTTTGAACAGAAGCTTGGTAACATAGTACACAGTAAAAGATCAGATGCACTTCAGACATCTCCCTAGCCAATCAAGAAGGCCAGGATCGGTTATTGCCGTTGTAAAACAGACGTACACGTAATTTGATTTGCCTAGACCTAGTTTCTCCTGTAGTGCTTGCAGTTGTGATTGTAGTCCCAATGTCTTACTCTAACAGCAACCCATTCTTGCCCTAAAAGGCGACTATGCTTGTCGTAAGAGGCGACTAACAGGATTGGGTGGTCAGACCGTGGACCCATGCTTATGATGTCAATCTCTGGACTGTCTGGTTCAGACTCGATCATTTACAGACCGCCGTCATATAGCTGGAAAAAATGACTATGCTTGTCGTAAGAGGCGTCTAATGGATCGGTTGATCAGACTCGCTGACTTGGTTGATGCATGTCGTCGTATCCCAAATGCGTGGATCGATGCTCATGATGTCAATCTCTGGATTGTCTGGTTCAGACTCGATCATTTACAGACCGCCGTCATATAGCTGGAATATTTCTGAGAGCAACAACAACCAAACTCAAGTGATGTCGCCAAGACACTTTCCCAGTGTACAGTCTAACGCGATATCAAACCGGAAGTTCACATTTCTCTTCGCCATATTGATGTTATCATTGTTTCTTCCAGCACTTCCTTTTGCTTTCCTCCGCGACAATGGCGGCGTCGAGCCGAACCTTCCATTGGGCGGACTATCTCCTGTTCATCCTGATGCTCGCAGTGTCCTCCGCCATCGGTGTCTTCTATGCATGCCAGGCTCGGCGGAAGGCCATAACGATGGACGCCCATCTGACGGGAGACCGGAAGATGACCCTCATCCCCGTCACCTTCTCCATCTGCGTCAGCTTCATGTCTGCTGTCTTCATCCTCGGCATACCGTCCGAGATCTACAACAACGGCGGCATCTACTGGCTCTACGCCATCGGCTACATCCCCGTCTACATCGTCAGTGCCCTTGTCTTCGTCCCAATGTTCACCAGTCTCAACCTCAGTAGCGGATACCAGGTTCGTCTGTCTTCGTTGCTATGTATTTGTATATGCCTTTGTAGCCATAGTAACTACAACATACACCAGGTTCATTTGGTTTGTGTCACATTATATGGCTGTATCTTTTAAATATCTACTTTCGTTGTCATAGTAACCACAACATCCATCAGGTTCGTTTGGTTGTGTGACTATATATAGCTGTATCTTTTTATCTTCTTTCGTTGTCATAGTAACCTCAGCATCCAATACCAGGTTCGTTTGGTTTTCTTCATAGCTGTATCTTTTTAATCCCCTTCGTTGCCATGGTGTTATTGCTGACTGCCCCGTAAAACAACACATGCAGATAATCTCACAATCATATTTCATTCCCTTCTGTTAGCTTGTGGATTCCGGGTCAAAGTCAAAGTCAAAGATGTTTATTGTATCAAAGGCCATCGGCCCATATACAAGTTCAGATAAATACAGTGGGTGAGAATTTACAGATTGGGAGATACAACAAAAATTATATAAATATAACATTCATTTAACAATCGGTGATAATCATGAGGACTTTATAGGGTGAGGTAATTAAAAATTATGAATTTCCACTCAACATGTTATTTCGTAGTTCCATCCCATGTTTTACAAATAAAGACAGTTTAAACATTACATCGGCATCATTCGATGACAAAATAGAAACAAAAGCTATTCTACTTGTCTTAGATAAGAAACATTCTGGTATATATTTAGTACGTAATTCTGCATAATAAGGACATTCAAAGGTAAAATGTATTTCGTCTTCTATTGCAGAGTTACAGAATGGACAAATTCTTTGTATTCTTTCAAGTGATATATTCCGTCCATAGTTAATCATAAGTTTTGACAAGCCAAGTCTGTATTTAATATATCCATTTCTTAGGTGACTATTTGTTAAAACTGATAGATATTTTTCTGGCTCTAATAGAGTCTTAAATGTTCTGTACAAATCATAACGTGAACTATTTTCCAAGTTGCATTGCCACCCTTGATAGAACATATTTATTGCTATTTTACGAAAATCATTTAGAAATAAATGTTGATCACCAACAGATTGGTTAAGCCATATATACCCATATCCATGTGAGAATAATAGTGTCCTAATATGCGATACCCATGTAACCTTACCGATACTATCTAAATGAAAGAGCATGTTATAAGCTTTTTTCGGAAGCCGATGTTCTGGCATACGGATGATATTAAACCAATATTTTAAACACTTTATTTGTGAATTAATGTAAAGTGGGTATCTTCCACATTCTCCATATATCATATTATTTGGTGTTGCTATTCCAACGCGAAGAAACTTTTTACATGCCAGTAGGTGAATTCTTTCTAAACATTCATATCTTCGGTAACCCCACACTTCAGATCCATACAATAAAATTGGCTGTATTTGAGTATCAAATAATTTGAAAAATACTTTTGGAGTAATAACTCCAAGTTTATGTGAAACAGACATTATATTAAGTAAAGCTCGTTTCCCTCGCAGTGATAAGTCAGATACACATTTGTTCATATTTAGTGTTGAATTAAACATTATGCCGAGATACTTATAACCATTAACTACATTAATTTGTTGTCCATTTAAGTACCATCTTTCCCTAAAATTTAAAGGACCCCCTTTTCTGAATACTATAATTTCTGTCTTATCTAAATTTACAGATAAATTCCATTCCTTAGTATATTTATCTAATACATTCAACTGATTCTGTAGACCAATAACAGTGTCAGATAGTAAAATAACATCATCGGCAAAAAGGAGCATAAGAAGTTCAAGGATGTCAGGATACATCTGTATACCATGCTTGCCGTTACTTGAGATTTCATAATATAATTCGCTTATGAAAAACGAAAATAACAGAGGACTCAGTATACATCCCTGACGTAAACCAGATGGGCAATCGATAAAATCAGTAACACCATAATCACTACGTACACATGACTTGATATTTGAATACATTGATTGTATTATATTAAACATCTTCCCTTGTAGTCCAGCTTTTCTTAAACAACACCATAATTTATAACGATCAACTGTATCAAATGCCTTTTTAAAATCAATAAAAGCAACGTAAACCATGTGTTTACGACGTGTTAGACATTTTTGAATTGCAGCATATAATGTAAAAATATGATCTACGGTTGAATAATTTTTTCTAAAACCAGCTTGAACTTCCGGTATCTTATCTCTCATATTTGCCCAGTTAGTAAGCCTGTTATTCAAAACAGAGGTAAAAATTTTCCCCAGAACACTCATTAATGAGATCCCCCTGTAGTTGTCAGGGTTTCTCGGATCGCCTTTTTTATGTAGAGGGACTATTTCTGAACAAGACCAACTGTTTGGAAATATTTGATTATCAAAGAGTTTGTTGAAACATTTATGAAGAAATGGCATAATATCTAATTGGGAACATTTAAGCATTTCTATCAGCACTTGATCCGATTCCGGGTCAGAAAAGGTATCTGTGCATCTCACATGCCTCAAGAACGCACAGCTGGAAACAGCCAATGTGAGAAGGACGTCCTTTTGAGCCACACTTCTTGAGCTTTGCTGTTTGTTGTTTAGCACCGCTCCACACAAATATTCCATCTATATGACGGCGGTCTGTAAATAGTCGAGTTTGGACATGACAAACACGTGATTGATAGTGTGAGCCGCGAACCCCGCCGACAGGGAACGGTAACAGCTAAACCAGCGAGCCTGACCTACCGGATCCATTTAGTCGCCTCTTACACTAGTGCGGGGTGTAGAGACAGCATGTTCCGTGATGCTTGTTCAACGCCTCACTCCGCAATATTCCAGCTATATGACGTCGGTCTGTATGTACATAATCGAGTCTGAACCAGACAATCCAATGATTGACATCATGAGCATCAATCTACGCAATTGAGGTACGATGACATGCATCACGTCAGCGAGCCTGACCATCCGATCCCCTAAGTCGCCTGTTACGACATGTATGAATTGCTGAAGACCAATTCTAACCCATAATCTTTTCGATTAATCTTTTTTTAGCCGTGGGGATTTTTGCCTAATTGTTTATTCCCTGGCTTCTATTTTGGGACAGTTCAGGATAGGAGAGATGTATTTGTTTGTAAAAGAGAATTCTCATCAAAATCGTTGACTTCAAGCAAAGCCGTTACAAAACGTCAGCGTATCTTGAAGGTTGATGGTCAGGATTCCATGTATAATCTATGCCGCAGTTTAACATGAATACCCCACTCAGACACAGTATACTGACTCCGAGCCTACCAGTCCTTGTTTTACCCCCTTACGCCAACGCCAGACAGGGTAACAACAAGTACCATCTTTAAACGTCTTTTGGTATAACGCGGCCGCGGATCGAACCCCGGACCTTCCGCTCTCCGGGCGGACGCTCTACCACTAGACCACAGAGGCGGTCAGAACATAATTGAACTATTCCTTATAAGGATATATTCTACTCAAAATAAGTAAAAGTATTCTTTCATATTACTACAGATACTCTGTCATGGAATGGAATGACAGAGAATCTTTATTTGTAATATGAACGAATCGGGTGTTCTTTAACTTCTTTTGGGTAGTATAAGTCATCAATACCTGGCACAACAAATACCATCACATGTCAGTGATCAGTGACTTACAGTGACCTAGCTGTTATTTATTTACTTCAGCTGTAGAAACAAGATTACTCTCTGGTCGCAATATTCAGGAGTTTTTGGCGGGAATGACAAATATAGGTTATTTGTAATATATGATATTTATTTACGAAAACGCACGAGGGTTATAATCACCATATAATGTCATTCTAAAAATAATCAATGTTTAAGACGTATTTTCATTCAAGAAACTTTAGAGTGAGTGAGTTGGGTTTAACGCCGCTTTTAACAGTATTCCAGTTTACCACTTCGATGAAACCCACGAGCACGGGTATGGTGCTGACAAACCTAGAAACATAATCGGGGCGAACCGGGATTTGAACCCACAATCATAGGTTTCTGGCGTGCCCAAGGGACGCAACTCTGCACAGCGAATTGCGGCGCCTTAGACGACTGGGCCATCCGTGCCCCTAAGAAACCTTAGAAACCGCGTATGAATACAATGTTTAAGTAAACCGCCCGATCTATAATATAGTGCCAAATTATTTGCGGCCATGAGGGTCAACAGGATCATCACACGCCGGGAAATGCCTACCTAATCATATTTAGAACGTTAGTCAATACTTTAGTAATCAAGCAGACATTGTATCGATGCGTGTGGCTCAAAAGTAGTTCCTGCCCGGTGACATCATTTGCATATTTATCGGATCGTGATGTCCTGATTATCGTATTGGTGTATCGCACTGATAACACTTTCCAGTATAATAGTGGATAATGTTATCGATGCTACACAACAGTCTTAATAAACTTTAAGCATACTTCATTTAAGCATACATTTATAAAATTATAAATAAAGGATATTTCTTCGATACTATTACAAACGGAGACTGGGTGAATGAATGTTGGTTAAGTTAAACAATGGTTGACCACAATGTCGAGTGAGTGAGTATGGTTTTACGCCGCTTTTAGCAATATTCCAGCAATATCACGGCGGGGGACACCAGAAATGGGCTCCACACATTGTACCCATGTCGGGAATCGAACCCGGGTTTTCGGCGTGACGAGCGAAGGCTTTAACCAGGAGGCTACCCGACCGCCCACCACAATGTCGAGGCGCGATGTGACACACTGTATATCTGCTTTCTTACACCATCTATAGATGTCACCACGACTCGGAAATGTGTCGCCGGTTACTATGACATACACTTCAAGATAATAGTTACGCAGCTATTTCGACAAACACGACAGCATGTCCGCATAACACAGAGACATGCTCCCAGTCAGATATAGACTGGCATTGTTGACCTGCGCGCTGCTGGATAGCGACATAACGGTACTCCTGCAATGTGTGACAAAATCAGTGCTGGAATGAATATCCACACGTGGCTGACAGAAGTAGAGGAACAGTGAAAATATCAACACCGAAGCAGTGTTCTATCACAACGCTGGGTTTTCTATAATAAAATAGGGGGCGTACAGGCAGGGCGGCATCACACATACTTTGAGTGGTACTATCAGATCTCCCGCCTCCTTGTCTTTCCAGCTTAATCGTGGATAAGTTAGGGCGCTCGAAAACTCAACATGGACCTGGTGCTTTTACTAAATTAAGCTATCTATTGTTTAAAAGCTAAAATACAGTTCAGCTTTCAAAGTTATTTTTTTAAGTAAGAAAAGTTCAAAACACGTTATTTCTTAAAACTTTCAGTATTTCATGTTCCGATGTCAGAGCTTGTATTTGCGTAAAATACGCATTAAATAAACTGAAATACGCAGACAAATCAAATCCAAGTGTATCAAATACGCAAGAAAAACAATAAATACGCTATTGAAAATAAATTAAAGCGTATATTACAGCTATTATCAGCTATTTGTTTACCCAGGGGTTTGGGGGGCACGGGTGGCCCAGTCGTCTGAGGCGCCGCGATTCGCTGTGCAGAGTTGCGTCCCTTGGGCACGCCAGAAACCTTGGATTGTGGGTTCGAATCCCGGTTCACCCCGATTATGTTTCTAGGTCTGTCAGCACCATACCCGTGCTCGTGGGTTTTACCGAAGTGGTAAACGTCGGAGACCTGCATCACTTGGGCATTCATCCCACATTAAGCTGACACGCCGTGATATAACTGGAATACTGTTAAAAGCAGCCTTAACTCCAACACACTCACTCACGTAAGAGGCGACTCAAAGGATAGGGCGGTCAGGCTCGGTGACTGGCTTTACTGCCTGTCTGTCAAAAAAAATTTACCCATCTGTTTCTTGACATTTGAGTAGCTTAACTTGAAACCTGTTTCGTAACAATCCCTGTAATTCATTTAGAACTATATGTAGTAATTATGTCTGCTTGCAGCTCCCTTTCCGGGAAGCTGTTTTTGTTTGCAAAACCTAGCATTGTGAGAAAGTTGTTGTGTTTTTTATCACCAATCAGCGACTGTTTAAGATACAACGTGTACATTGACTAGGCGATGTGCTTTTAAATTGGCATCTATCAGTTTGTTTGTCGCACAAACTTTCCCGAATGTAACAGTCGGCAATCGAATTTGGCGATCGGTTGATACACAATCATTTTATATAACAGTCGTAGAATGCACAATAATTTTATTTCAAAAGGGTATTTATAATTTATCCTGCGTATTCGATACGCTAGAATTCGATTTGTCTACGTATTCCAGTTTATTTAAAGATATTTCACGCAAATACGCAGCTATCTCGAGCTCTGCATGACACACCTGTAATCAACTGCGTCACAGGGGGTCAGGTAATCCCTGCATTGGGGAGGAAAACGGGAAACCAATGGGAAACATGTCACCCTCAATTGTAGACTGCTACCATCAGAAATGTTACGGAGACTGGTCATTTGGTTCTCTGTTTTCAGTACTTGGAGCGACGTTTCAACGGTTACATCCGGGTTCTCGGTTCAGCCACCTTTACAATTGAAATGGTGAGATGCGACGTAAGGCACTGCATGCGCGAGGGATGCGACGTAAGGCACTGCATGCGCGAGGGATGCGACGTAAGGCACTGCATGCGCGAGGGATGTAACTGGCTTTTGAAGAGCTACCCGTAACATTGAAGATGTTAATTATTTTATGTAAATCAAATTGTTTAAAATAATATAATATCAGCTTATGTGCATGATTAGTGATTTTGAGACATGTTTACGTTAATTTTTTCAGATTGAATTTCAGTTCCTTGAGTCTCAGATTTGGATGATAATAACATTGTCTATATTTCAGGTGATCTACATGGGGGTTGTGATGTATGCCCCGGCACTAGCGCTCAGTCAAGGTAACTCCCCACCCACATACTAAATCCTTCCACCCTCACACTGAATCCCCCCCACCCCCTTCCACTGAGTCCCCCAAACCCACATACTAAATCCCTCCACCCTCACACTGAATCCCCACCCCCCACCCCCTTCCACTGAATCCTCCCACCCACATACTAAATCCCTCCACCCTCACACTGAATCCCACCCCCAACCCCCACCCCCTTCCACTGAATCCCCCCATCCACATACTAAATCCCCCCAACCTCACACTGAATCCCCCCCTTCCACTGAATCCACCCACCCACATACTAAATCCCCCCATCCCTGATGTATGCCCCAGCACTAGCGCTCAGTCGAGGTAACTCCCCACCCACATACTAAATCCCCCCACCTCTGATGTATGCCCCGGCACTAGCGCTCAGTCAAGGTAACTCCCCACCCACATACTAAATCCCCCCACCTCTGATGTATGCCCCGGCACTAGCGCTCAGTCAAGGTAACTCCCCACCCACATACTAAATCCCCCCAACCTCACACTGAATCCCCCCCATCCACTGAATCCCCCCACCCACATACTAAATCCCCCCACCTCTGATGTATGCCCCGGCACTAGCGCTCAGTCAAGGTAACTCCCCACCCACATACTAAATTCCGCCACCCTCACACTGAATCCCCCCACCCCAACCCATACAGTGATTCCCCCACCCTCACACTGAATCCCTCCTACCCCACTCTGAATCCCCCCTGCCCTCACAATGAATCCCTCCCCCTCACACTGAATCCACCCACCCACCCACCCACTGAATTCACCCACCCCCACGCTGAATTCACCCCCCCCCCCCCCTCACAATGAATACCCCCACACGCTGAATATCCCCACCCACACACTGAATTCCCCACCCACACGCTGAATATCCCCACCCACACGCTGAATTCCCCCATCCCACCTTCACACTGAACTCCCCCCCCCCCCTCACAATAACACCCCCACCTCACCCCCGTCACACATAATTCGCCCATCCACACACTGAATTCCCCCTCCCATAGGATGTACTTCCCGGCACTAGCCTCTCCACCCTCACACTTTATCCCCCCTCAGGGTAACATTCCTTACTATGTGAAATCACAATTTCGCAATCAGCAGTATAAATCTTTATTTTGTAATTTGTTCAGGGCACCTCGTTTATTTTTTTTATTTTTTTATTTATTATACAATAGATCCGTTTAGTTAATATTCGAGACTGATTTTACTCTGGCTTTGGCGTTTTGAACTCACATGACGGTAACGATATTAGAAACATGAACTTTCTGTTTCAGTGACGTCATTCTCCACTGAAATGTCAATCCTCATCATGGGTGTCGTGTGCACTTTCTACACTTCTATAGTAAGTCTAGCCTCGTCATGGGTGCCGTGTGCGCCTTCTACACTTCTATAGTAAGTCTAGCCTCGTCATGGGTGCCGTGTGCGCCTTCTACACTTCTATAGTAAGTCTAGCCTCGTCTTGGTCTCGTGTGCGCCTTCTACACTTCTATAGTAAGTCTAGCCTCGTCTTGGTCTCGTGTGCGCCTTCTACACTTCTATAGTAAGTCTAGCCTCGTCTTGGTCTCGTGTGCGCCTTCTACACTTCTATTGTAAGTCTAGCCTCGTCTTGGTCTCGCAGGTGATCTGGCAGAAGTCCAACATTTCAATGACAAGAGGTGCGCGGTTGATGTGCAGAGTTGCGTCCCATGGGCGTGCCAGAAACCTATATCGTGGTTCGAATACCAGTTTCTTCCTGATTATGTTTCTAAGTTTGTCAGAACCAAATTCGTGCTCCTGGATGTCAAAAAAGGGGTTTGACCTGCATCACTTCTCCTTTCCCAGAACTCCGTGGTCTTGTGGTAGAGCGTCCGCCCGTAGAGCGAAAGGTCCGGGGTTCTATCCCCGACCGCGCCATGCCAAAAGACGTCAACAGATGGTACTTGTTGTTACCTTGTCTGGCGCTTAGGGCTAAAACAATGACTGGTCGGCTCGGAGTCAGTATACTGTGTCTGAGTGGGGTATCCATGTTAAACTGCGGCATGGTATCTCAATGAGCCAGCAAAATAAAATTGAGATTGAGTAGTATAAGCAACCACACATACCAAGATAAAAGAAAGACAAAAAATATCCCTATCAAAAATGGAGTAGTATAGCTGAAATAACGCCCAATAATCACTCGCTCACTCGATGGGACCCGTGAAGATCCAGGATAGAAAGAGGCGACTAATCGGATCGGGTGGTCAGGCTCGCTGACTTGGTTGATGCATGTCATCGTGTCCCAGACCCGTGAAGATCCGGGGTAGAAAGAGGCGACTAATCGGATCGGGTGGTCAGGCTCGCTGACTTGGTTGATGCATGTCATCGTATCCAATCGGATCAATGTTCATGATGTCAATCACTGGATTGTCTAGTCCAGACTCGATTATTCACAGACCGCCGTCATTTCGCTGGAATATAGCGGAGTGCGGCGTTAAACCACAAACAAACGCTCGATGGCAGAAATTGCCTTCTTTCAACACATTTTAGTGTGGTTAGTGCTGGACGAGGGACAAATCGCTGATGTCTGAATCCCATCATACGTACATCGAGACGTCACGACGCCACGTCATTCTTTAACCTCACTGTTAGTTCGACATTTCTCATTAATGGACGGATTTTATCATCCAAACATCATACAGCCTTATATGACTGAAATTCGGTTCAAAGCCTTGTTAAAATGTTACTCGAATAAGCAAGTCACGTCTCGGGGCTGTTGAACCCTGGACTGGCGATATCTTGCCCCATCACAGCCCACTGTGATTACCCAGGTGCAGAGCTTAAGAATATGCGTGACCGTTGATAAATTGATGAACGGCAATTTAGTTCAGTCACGATTCGGCGACTGTACTTGCATATTTAGTCTTCTGTTTAGAATTAATTTTGATATGAACATGAATAAATTGGGATTAATCTTAGATGTATCTAAAGTCACAGTTCAGACTGTGTGAAACAAGACAGTTCTTACCTGTGTCTCCCTGCTAATTAAGCCGCGTCTCGACTGGGGGACAGGTTGAGGTGAGAGAGAGGGGTCGTGTAGACAGTAGCCTCACACCTGTTGGGTTAATCGATTGCCATGTATACACAGCGGGAGACAGAAGTATAGACACTAGGCCCCCAGGTATTTCTACGCCACAGAATGTGATGAGACCGCGTATTTAGGGCGACATGTTTGCATGGTAATTATAGTAATATCCGGAATGGAAGTTTGTCTTCAAGAAAGAACGTTTCAGAGGAAATTAAAATCGAATTAGGAGATAAACCTACTGTGTTTTGAAATTTGACGTAGTCCCACTGTAGAATAGATACCTCTTTATTTGATTCTCTATATATATTCTTTGATTTGATTTATTTGACGCCGTCTATTAATTTCGCGAGAGCCCTTGACTAGGCGTGTATTAGAGACCTGGCTGGTATTAGAGACCCAGCGTGCATTAGAGGAAATTAAGATTCGTTTTACAGTTTATATGGGGGTGATCGATCGGCAGCCATTTTTATGAATCGATATGTAGGCTTTCTATGTAATCATGCGCACGTTTTTTGTGAAAAGGCTTAATACCTATTCTACCCCGGATCTTCGCGGGTGGAGATCAATGGGGCCTGTGGTAATCACTACGGGCGGTACGCTGTGTTACAATAAATGGTCGTATGTAACCAATTGGTTGTGCTCTCTCTCTCTCTCCCCCCCCCCCCCCCCCCCCCCCACACACACACACACACCAGAACCACCCCAACCACCCCCGTGATCGTGATGTTAATTGTATATTTATAAGTGTACCAGTCTTTAACGCAATTTTTAAGCCACATTCCACCTCACCACCCTTAAGCGCGGCGTAAAACCTTCTCCCCCTGGATTGCTTCTTGATATCGGGCCTGTCGGAAAACTGTGAAAGGTATTCATAATAAGCCTCCTATCTTACATCTTCCCGAGACAGCGTGTCCACCAGCCTATATAGCGAAGTCCAGTTCGCAGTGCATACCAGACTTTGGTATAGTCTAGTGGACACGCTTGCCTTAGGTGAGGTGAAATGGGGTTTGACGTCGCGTCCAAGATTACTGCACTTGTCGTTTTGGCCGTATGTTCACCTTGTTCTCACTCAAGTCAGCTGCTGTGCCCCACCATGTACTGCTGTGCCTCACCATGTACTGCTGTGCCTCACCATGTACTGCTGTGCCTCACCATATACTGCTGTGCCTCACCATGTACTCCTGTGCCTCACCGTGTACTGCTGTGCCTCACCGTGTACTGCTGTGCCTCACCATGTACTGCTGTGCCTCACCGTGTACTGCTGTGCCTCACCATGTACTGCTGTGCCTCACCATGTACTGCTGTGCCTCACCGTGTACTGCTGTGCCTCACCATGTACTGCTGTGCCTCACCATATACTGCTGTGCCTCACCATGTACTGCTGTGCCTCACCGTGTACTGCTGTGCCTCACCGTGTACTGCTGTGCCTCACCATGTACTCCTGTGCCTCACCATGTACTGCTGTGCCTCACCATGTACTGCTGTGCCTCACCGTGTACTGCTGTGCCTCACCGTGTACTGCTGTGCCTCACCATGTACTGCTGTGCCTCACCATATACTGCTGTGCCTCACCATGTACTGCTGTGCCTCACCATGTACTGCTGTGCCCCACCATGTACTGCTGTGCCTCACCATGTACTGCTGTGCCTCACCATGTACTGCTGTGCCTCACCATGTACTGCTGTGCCTCACCGTGTACTGCTGTGCCTCACCATGTACTGCTGTGCCTCACCATGTACTGCTGTGCCCCACCATGTACTGCTGTGCCTCACCATGTACTGCTGTGCCCCACCATGTACTGCTGTGCCTCACCTTGTACTGCTGTGCCTCACCATGTACTGCTGTGCCCCACCATGTACTGCTGTGCCCCACCATGTACTGCTGTGCCTCACCATGTACTGCTGTGCCTCACCATGTACTGCTGTACCTCACCATGTACTGCTGTACGATGCAGTCAGTGACGAACAAAGCGTTACACGGGAAAACAATGACACGTTTTGGTGTTGATTTTGGGTGAAGCATGGGAATTCTAGTTGGTATTTCAGCCGGACATGCCAGACGCTTTACGAAACGAAACTAGTGTAGCCTTGTCTTCAACGTGTTTGACAATCACAAATGATGGTCCTTTTTTGCTGGCTTCGTTTGAGCCTAGAGTGATTGGTATACATTCAGTCGGTACGGACAGGGCCTTGTTATACAGATGGCGCTATGCGACTGTCCTAACACTGTCCAGTGAGACCGCGTTGTGTCAGATTCAGGTTTATTTACTTACTCCACCCACCCACTGTGGTAGAAGATTACAGTATAATTGACATTGGATAAATACACATGGACAATTTAAAACATTGTATACATACATGTTTACATTAACATCGTGATGAACGGTTTTAGAACTCTTTCATGAGCATAGAGATAAATTTACATAAAGTGGTTTAAGCGTTCGCTCGTCACGCTGAAGACTGGGTTCGATTCCCGACATGGGTACAATGTGTGAAGCCCATTTCTGGTGTCCCCCGCTGTGATATTGCTGGAATATTGCTAAAAGCGGCGTAAAACCACATTCACTCATTCATTCACAGGCCCGGGTGGGGGGTGGGGGGCAGGGGTGGCCAATAGGTCCCACTTGTTTCACACAGGGTTTTCACATACCATGTGTGCCCGTTCGTATTTTATGAAGGTTGTTAGACTGCCTGGAATACTTGAAGCTGTATTCAGTTGTAATGCCGCAAATATTGCTGACTGTGGTTAATATCGTTAACGACCCGTGAAGATTCCTGGAAAGAATAGGTCTTCAGCAACCCATGCTTGCCGTAAAAGGTAGCTATGCTTGTCGTAAAAGGCGACTAACGGGATCGGGTGGTCAGGCTCGCTGACTTGGTTGATGCATGACATCGATCCCAATTGCTTGGATCGATGCTCATGTTGTCAATCACTGGATTGTCTGGTCCAGACTCGATTATTTTCAGACCGCCGCCATAAACAAACAAACAAACAAACAAACTATGTACAAAATCGATACATTAATTAATTAATCGCTACATATTGGTTACAATGTTTCGCGTGATAATTCGCCCCCAATAGCTGACGAGGCGTTAATCAATAATCTCTCGGACCCTCGCTGAGTTCATATGATCGGAGTTCCGTTAACGTCTTTGTATTGTTGACTTCTGATCTGACCTTGGCGTCTTCACACAAAAACAGTGAAAATAATATAAACAGTAATACCTCTCGGTTGTCCTTGTCGCTAGACCACCACGACTTTGCATGATCAGTTGGTGTTTGCCTGGGATGATTCAAGGCCTCAGTAAAGTTTTCACAAAGTCTTATGGTAGACATGTACGTGGAGGACATTTCCAAATAGGACGCATCAGGGACAAAAATGATGTCCGATGCAGTTCCATATTTTGACTGCTACCACGTCTTCCCGTATTTTTAAGACTAACATTTGACATGCCTTTGCATGTGTTTTCCGACGGGTGCCACCGGTGGGGCAGGATACGCTCACCTTATCGGGAATACCTAGTATCACCACTATTTGATAGTGATTCATAAACTCATGATCATGATTTAGTCGGAATCCTAACATCGACTCCGCGTTTTGCTGATATTTCTATTGGATATGGAAAGGGTTTTGTCGCGTTGTTATTATTATTATTATTATTGTAATTATTATTCACGATACCAATCACAGGATTGTCTGGTCTAGACTCGATTATTTACAGACCGCCGTCATATAGCTGGAATATTGCTGAGTGCGCCGTTAAACAACAAACCAAACCAAACCAAACCAAATATTATTTTTCAGTAATGTGTGTGTGTGTTCTAGGGAGGCATCAAGGCAGTGATCTGGACGGACGTCTTCCAGATGTGCATCATCACGGCGGGGTTGCTGGCACTGATGATCCAGGGGGCGATGAGTGTGGGGGGATGGCAAGTGGTGCTGGATCGAGTCCGGGAGGGAGGAAAGCTGCCGTACTTTGAGTAGGTTTATGTGTTGTTAATGAATCTGACAGATAGTAATTTTCTCTATAAAGACGGGGGCACGGGTGGCCCAGTCGTCTAAGGCGCCGCGATGCGCTGTGAAGAGTTGCGTCCCTTGGGCACGCCCGAAACCTTTGCTTGTGGGTTCGAATGCCGGTTCGCCCCGATTATGTTTCTAGGTTTGTCAGCACCATACCCGTGGGTTTCACCGAAGTGGTAAACGTCTCAGACCTGCATCACTTCGGGCTTTCCTCCCACATTAAGCTGACACGCCGTGATATAACTGGAATACTGTTAAAAGCGGCCTTAAACCAAACTCACTCACTCTATATAGACATGCACAGATTATAGGTAATACCCCTATTGTTACCCACTTAACCACGGCTGACTACACCTGTACCCTATAACAATAGGTGAGGGCACAGTGAGGTGGGTGTCCTCCCCATTGGCCTACTTCCCATTTGGCCTACGCTTTTAGAGGATTTAATTACGGTAAGTTATCGGTTGGTTGATCACTCACTAATTACCCGTCTCCCCCAGAGTGATGAAAATGAACCAGTCCAACAACAGAGAAATACAAGCTAACAGAATCTTTTTAATGTAATTAATGAGGATTCCTACTGCATCTGCTAATGCCAAGGTGTTCCCGTTGTAATCAATAAAGTGTGTTAGACGGGATGGGTAAGGTTTGAGTCCTCGACAATACGCACCAGTCACTGCTGGTCGGTCGGAAGCCATTGTATTTATTTATTGAATTAATATACTTGGAAATTTATGATCACCTTTCGGTTTAATTCGAAACATAATTTAAGACATTTCCAGCTGTTTTCATAAAATGCCCCAGCTCGGAACTAGCTGTACAGAATTATTTCTCTTTGTTGTGCCAGGATCCGTTAATAGTTTCCAGTTTCGCCGTGATTCTGATCATTAGTCTGTCCGCTCCATACATACATACATGTTGGTTTGTTTCATCAAAGTGGTAAATTTCGCTCCCATAAGGAATACGTATGATATAACACATCGGTTCTACAAGCCCATCAAACCCGAGTCACTCAGCCACTCTAACAAGCAGATGTCCACATACTCGTCATTACTTTATCAATAATGCAAATTATTGTAAACAACAATTTGAATGACTTTAGCCAGAACGGAACTGAGTATCTTTTATAAAGTTTAGTAAACCCAAAAAAGACAAAATGTGAGCGGGGCTCACTAGTACCCCCGACTTCGACACCAACAAATTTCTAAAACATTTTTTTTTAAAAATCACAGAAAAGCAACTTATCGTAATCAAACTTTGCATTACATCTCTCTTATTAGTATAGAAACTGTACCTCCTGTTGGAAAAGAATCCATGAAGTAGTTGTAAGTCATAGGTCGCACAAATGTTGAAGTGAAAAAAGTGTTCACAACATTATATCTTCCCCCAGAAAATACACATATCAAACTCAATCTTTGCACTGCGTCTTTTCTAATAGTATGGAAACTGTTCCCTAAATTTGAAAAGAATCGACTGTAGTTTTCAAATATAGGTCACACAAATGTTTAAGTAAAGAATTCTCTGTAAAGAATGAAAGAAGGCTGTATTTTTTTCAATAAACCCAAGTAGGGAAATCAAAATTCGCACTGCACCTCTCCTATAGGTATACAAAGTGTTCACCAAGTTTGCAAAGAATACATGCAGTGGTTTTCAAGTTATAGGTCACACAAACAAAATGTCCTTGGACGGACGGACGGACGGACGGAATTCTTTTGTATAAATATGTAACTCCGCCCTTACAGGTCGGGGGTAGAAAAAATATTCACTTTGGTATGCTCTTGTCCAGGGCTACTTCCACAAAGGGATCTTAGCCCGTAAGAACGTGACTCCCACACTTCAACATAGGATTACGATCGTCGTAGCTAAGATCGTTTTGTGGAACGGGTCCCGGGCGATAAAACCTCGTCACACTAGAAATCCCCATTTCGCAGCAGGTCAGCAATATCAGGTCATGAGAATTTGAAATATGAAGCAAATATTCACCAAGAACATGTCCCCGACTGCCACGATGTTAGCGCTAGCGACCGACTGAAGTGCAAGTGCACCTTCGCCACGAGACGTCCCAAGCTGTGCTGCTCAATCTGGCCTGTTTACACGCTCAGTCTACACAAATCTGATCGTTTTTTACTGTTTTGTTTTCAAAACAATCCAATAATTTACTTAGATTGTGCCTTTCCTGTTTAACGAATTTGTTTTTCCACTGGGAAAATTTGAATTTTTTGGTGCACAATGGCGTTTTTCTAGCGTCGTCACTGCTGGACCAATGCACCTTTGTTTATACGCCTGCGTTTGAACAATGCTTTGAATAATATAGTTTTGATTAACACAATTTCAACCTGTTTAACAAACACAACATAGCACTGAGATGAAACGAAAAATCTCAGACTAATACACTGCAGTTTGTGTAGACACAGCAGTCTTGATTGTACTTAGTAACCAGACCGCCTCCGTGGTCTAATGGTAGAGCGTCCGCCCGGAGAGCGGAACGACCGGGGTTCGATCCCCGACCACGTCATACCAAATGACGTTAACAGATGGTACTTGTTGTTACTCTGTCTGGCGCTCGGCATTAAGGGGCTAAAACAAGGACTGGTCGGCTCGGAGTCAGTATACTGTGTCTGAGTGGGGTATTCATGTTAAACTGCAGCATGGTATCTCAGTGGGCTAGCACTATAAATCGGCATCGGACTAGTACAAGCAGCCACATACATACATACATACACGTGCATGTATAAGTGCAATAATCTTGGACGCGACGTTAAACCCCATTTCACCTCACCTCACTTAGTAAACCGCGATGTATGATACGTACTTTTAGAAAAATGATATATTTTTACAACGCCTCAACGAATTACAGCTATTTGTGACGAAGTCACGGACAGTGTTGTCAGGTATTAATACACAGTGTGTACACGACGCTGACGAAGCCCATTGCAACACCACAACTCAATTAGTATAGTATACCACTCAACAGAAGTTAAGGACACACGATTTTGTCACATGACTATAGTTAATCTGTCATGGGGGCGGCAGGGTAGCCCAGTGATTAAGGTGTTCCCTCGCAGCGCCGAAGACCCGGGTTCGACTCCCTAAATGGGTACAATGTGTGACGCTTATTTCTGGTGTCACCTGCTGTGGAATATTACTGGAGTGGCGTAAAACAATACTCACTCACTAAACTGTCATGGTTCGTGGGTGGTGTAACATACAGCCTTCCAATTGTGTGTGTGTGTGTGGGGGGGGGGGGGGGGGGGGGGGGGGGGGCACGGATGGCCCAGTCGTATAAGGCACCGCGATTCGCTGTGCAGAGTTGCGTCCCTTGGGCACGCCAGAAACCTATGATTGTGGGTTCGAATCCCGGTTGGCCCCAATTATGTTTCTAGGTTTGTCAGCACCATACTCGTGCTCGTGGGTTTCACCGAAGTGGTAAACGTCTGAGACCTGCATCACTTCGGGCTTTCCTCCCACATTAAGCTGACACGCCGTGATATAACTGGAATAATGTTAAAAGCGGCGTTAAACCAAACTCACTCACTCCAATTTTGGATGTTGTTTAACTTGTTTTGAGTAGTATATATGAAGTTAGACACTGCTTCCGATTCTAATGAATCCCGATATGGTACATATACTGATGGTGATAAGTTCCGCTACACAAAATCCAAACTAAAACGTCAAAACAATTATACAAGTTTAGAGTTTGCGTGTAATTCGTTATCACAAGTGCAAGGTCTCCCCGCGGATGACCTGTGTGGGACAGGGAGAGGTGACCTTTCCGGTGAGTAATCTGAAAACCTATGACGTCCGAAGACCTATGATCCGACGATACCTACATGACTATGTATGGAATTATATGCCGCCAGGTGGAACCCCGATCCATTTGTACGTCACACGTTCTGGACGCTGTCTGTGGGCGGCTTCTTCACGTCACTGACGGTGTTCGCCGCCAACCAGGCCGTGCTGCAACGTTACATGAGTCTCCCCGACACCAGACAAGCCAAGCTGTAAGTCACCCACCCACACACTCCCCCTTGTATCAATATGCACTTGGAATATGTGGCTATATCTCTAATATGTAGGGGCGCTTGGGTAGCCTCAACTATTCTCGTGGTTCAAGTGTTAGCTCGTCACGATGAAGGCCGGGGTTCGAATCCTCACCCACACCTGATAGCTGGTGACTTTGCTGGAAAGGCGTAAAAATAGAATGGGAGTGAATTTTGCTATGATCAGTGTGCTCGTAGCTTGGGATGCCGGTTCGCCCTGTTTTTATTTCACCCCCATTGCTGCGGGTTTCACCAAAGTTGTAAATATGTAAGACCTGCATAGTAGTGATATCTTCCTGTAATGAATATCTCCCTGTCGTGTACAGCTCCCTGTAGTGTATATCTTCCTATAGTGTATATCTTCCTGTGGTGTATATCTTCCTGTAGTGTATATCCCCCTGTGGTGTATATCTTCCTGTAGTGTTGATCTCCCTGTGGTGTATATCTTCTTGTAGTGTTGATCTACCTGTGGTGTATATCTTCCTGAGGTGTATATCTTCCTGTAGTGTATATCCCCCTGTGGTGTATATCTTCCTGTAGTGTTGATCTCCCTGTGGTGTATATCTTCTTGTAGTGTTGATTTCCCTGTGGTGTATATCTTCCTGAGGTGTATATCTTCCTGTAGTGTATATCTCCCTGTAGTGTATATCTTCATGTGGTGTATATCTTCCTGAAGTGTTTATCTCCCTGTGGTGTATATCTCCCTGTAGTGTTGATCTCCCTGTAGTGTATATCTTCCTGTAGTGTATATCTTCCTGTGGTGTATATCTTCCTGTAGTGTATATCTCCCTGTAGTGTATATCTTCCTGTGGTGTATATCTTCCTGTAGTGTTTATCTCCTTGTGGTGTATATCTTCCTGTAGTGTATATCTTCCTGTAGTGTATATCTCCCTGTAGTGTATATCTTCCTGTGGTGTATATCTTCCTGTAGTGTTTATCTCCCTGTGGTGTATATCTTCCTGTAGTGTATATCTCCCTGTGGTGTATATCTTCCTGTGGTGTATATCTTCCTGTAGTGTTTATCTCCCTGTGGTGTATATCTTCCTGTAGTGTATATCTTCCTGTAGTGTATATCTCCCTGTAGTGTATATCTTCCTGTGGTGTATATCATCCTGTAGTGTTTATCTCCCTGTGGTGTATATCTTCCTGTAGTGTATATCTCCCTGTAGTGTATATCTTCCTGTGGTGTATATCTTCCTGTAGTGTTTATCTCCCTGTGGTGTATATCTTCCTGTAGTGTATATCTCCCTGTAGTGTATATCTTCCTGTAATGAATATCTCCCTGTGGTCTATATTTTCCTGTAGTGTATATCTTCTGTGTCCTCAGATCTCTGCTCCTGAATCTACCTCTGGCGGAAATCTTTCTGGCGCTGGTGTGCCTCACTGGATTCGTCATCTACGCCCGCTTCCACAACGACGACCCCCTGAAGAACGGCAGCATCACCAAGTCCGACCAGGTGAACACCACCGTCGATATATCCCCCGAAGTTTGTCTCTCACCCTGGGATCCAGGGCTAGAGGTTGTCCCCATTGCTTCACGCTCGTCCGGGGGCGGTGGGTTAGCGTGGCGGTTAAAGCGTTCGCTCGTCACGCCGAAGTCCTGAGTTCGATTACCCATGGGTACAATGTGTGAAGCCCATTTCTAATGTCCCCCGCTGGATATTTCTAAAAGTGGCGTAAAACCATACCTACTCGCTCACTCACGCTCGTCCTTTCTGTAAAGATTCCGGTGCAGGAAATGTCCCAAAATACTCCATGCTTTTCTCTTGGTGCATTTTGAAGCAGAAAAAAACGTCCAATGTTTCCCATGTCTCCCTGTGGATTCCCTGAAGAACAGATCCCCATTCCCAGTGTTTGTTTCTTCCGTCAATCTCATTAAAATCAAGTCTAAGTTCTCGCTGCCGCTAAACAAAGATCTGAGGACCCATTACGGGTCACGTCAGAACGACCTTTCGCGAACTTTGACCAACCACTGAAATGACAAACAAGAAGTCGACATCAGCCAATTAGAAAGCAGCTTTCTCGAGCTTTACGGCACTCGTTTCAACCTGGCGACTTCCATTTCAGACTACGCTTGAAAACTATGTTGACACAGTTCTCGATTAAAATTTTGAAAACTGAACAAACGAAAATTCCGAAATGTACAATATGTGGTTGAGATTGTATGGCAGTGCTTCCCGCGTACTTTGCAACGCCTCCTCCGTTCACATGTTTATCCCACGGTAGCAAGAGATAGACGAGAATTTCGACGGAATCAGTCGTACGGGCCGTAGTTGTCATTCGGAATACCCCGTGTTAAAATTTTCGAGTTTGAATGATTAGAAAACACATTCCGACTGTCACGTTCATGATCTCGTAAGCGACGCTTTGATTGGTCGGATGAAAGGTCGTTCCTACGTGACCCGTTATGAGATGTCCTCAGATCTTTGTTTGGGGATAGCGAGATCTGATTTTAATGAGATTGTTTCTTCCGTGGGAATTTCCGACCATTCCAGGATAGACTAGCACCCCCATGACCCCATGACCCCAAGTGCCGACTCATTGAGTGTGGCTTACGTGAAGTGTTTGAATGTTACAGATCGTGCCGTTTTATATGATGGAGACATTGGGCTTCATCCCTGGGTTGACGGGATTGTTCGTGGCCAGTGTCTTCAGTGCAGCGTTAAGGTGAGATGTAGGTCATCCCAGACAGACTGAATCATATCTCGACACTGTCTCATGTCGTCATGCAACGTGTATACTCACATTTAGAGTTAAATGAGAACAAAGGGAAGTGTTTGTCCATAACGAGGTGGTGAGGAGAAATGCTCGTAAACGTACATTCAAGGTTATTGCACTCGCATAGCTACGGGCATGTCCGTGCGTTTGGGTGTCGAGTGTCGACCTGGAATCCGTATCCAGAGTTCTTTTTCGATGAAATAAAGCTTGCGTAAGTCAATAATGTTGAGACTGGGAATATAGAAATATTGATAATACATAGCCAATCGGATATGGAGTAGTGCGCTGTAAGACCCCATGACGCAAATCCGCTAACTGTTCTAACAGGACAATCTGTAGCCCCGGTAGTGACATACAGAGGTACTAAACGAGGAACGGTTGACCGGATACGGTAAGTGTGACATCCCGCCTGACGCTGCTGACCAATGGTTATGGTAGTTAATGGTTGTTTCTGCTCCCTGCAGCACCGTGTCGTCAGGCATCAACTCCCTGGCTGTTGTCACCATCGTCGACTTCATCAAGCCAGCCCTGGACAAGTTCAGATCAGGCCGGACCTCGGCCCGATTCATCGCCGTCCTCTCTCTAGCCACAGGTAGGTTGTGGTAGTCAGAACTCAGTCCGACTCGCCATCCCTTCTCTTGTCATAGGTTTGTTTAACGTCACGACTCCGCCATATTTCAGCTTGTAGCGGCTACCTGTAGGTTACCTGTAGTCTGGAGCAGATGATCCAGTGATTAATATTTTGAGTCAGATGCCACGCCCTTGGCGTACACTGTCACGCATTCCAGAAGGTCTCAGAGTCTGACCGCCCTATCCATTCAGTCGCCATGTGGACAATACTTCGGGTTGCTTGTTGTAAGAGGTGACTGACGGGATCGGGTGGTCAGGTTCCCTGTTGAACTTTCTAAGTCATGGAGTCATTCAATTGTACGACTTGTCAGAACAAAGAATACAGCCCGGGCACTCCCCTTTACGGACACCTGTTGAATACGGAACGTCAACATCCGCAATTTCAGAACATTAAAAACAGCCCGGACACTCCCCTTTACGGACACCTGTTGATTACGGAACGTCAACATCCGCAATTTCAGAACATGGAATACAGCCCGGACACTCCCCTTTACGGACACCTGTTGAATACGGAACGTCAACATCCGCAATTTCAGAACATTGAATACAGCCCGGACACTCCCCTTTACGGACACCTGTTGAATACGGAACGTCAACATCCGCAATTTCAGAACATTAAAAACAGCCCCGACACTCCCCTTTACGGACACCTGTTGATTACGGAACGTCAACATCCGCAATTTCAGAACATTGAATACAGCCTGGACACTCCCCTTTACGGACACCTGTTAAAAAAGGAACGTCAACATCCGCAATTTCAGAACATTGAATACAGCCCGGACACTCCCCTTTACAGACACCTGTTGAATATGGAACGTCAACATCCGCAATTTCAGAACATTGAATACAGCCCGGACACTCCCCTTTACGGACACCTGTTGAATACGGAACGTCAACATCCGCAATTTCAGAACATGGAATACAGCCCGGACACTCCCCTTTACGGACACCTGTTGAATACGGAACGTCAACATCCGCAATTTCAGAACATTGAATACAGCCCGGACACTCCCCTTTACGGACACCTGTTGAATACGGAACGTCAACATCCGCAATTTCAGAACATTAAAAACAGCCCCGACACTCCCCTTTACGGACACCTGTTGATTACGGAACGTCAACATCCGCAATTTCAGAACATTGAATACAGCCTGGACACTCCCCTTTACGGACACCTGTTAAAAAAGGAACGTCAACATCCGCAATTTCAGAACATTGAATACAGCCCGGACACTCCCCTTTACAGACACCTGTTGAATATGGAACGTCAACATCCGCAATTTCAGAACATTGAATACAGCCCGGACACTCCCCTTTACGGACACCTGTTGAATACGGAACGTCAACATCCGCAATTTCAGAACATTGAATACAGCCCGGACACTCTCCTTTACGGACACCTGTTGAATACGGAACGTCAACATCCGCAATGTCAGAACATTGAATACAGCCCGGACACTCCCCTTTACGGACACCTGTTGAATACGGAACGTCAACATCCGCAATGTCAGAACATTGAATACAGCCCGGACACTCCCCTTTACGGACACCTGTTGAATACGGAACGTCAACATCCGCAATGTCAGAACATTGAATACAGCCCGGACACTCCCCTTTACGGACACCTGTTGAATACGGAACGTCAACATCCGCAATTTCAGAACATTGAATACAGCCGGGGCACTCCCCTTTACAGACACCTGTTGAAGACGGAACGTCAACATCCGCAATTTCAGAACATTGAATACAGCCCGGACACTCCCCTTTACGGACACCTGTTGAATACGGAACGTCAACATCCGCAATGTCAGAACATTGAATACAGCCGGGGCACTCCCCTTTACGGACACCTGTTGAATACGGAACGTCAACATCCACAATTTCAGAACATTGCATACAGCCCGGACACTCCCCTTTACGGACACCTGTTGATTACGGAACGTCAACATCCGCAATTTCAGAACATTGAATACAGCCCGGACACTCCCCTTTACGGACACCTGTTGAATACGGAACGTCAACATCCGCAATTTCAGAACATTGAATACAGCCCGGACACTCCCCTTTACGGACACCTGTTGAATACGGAACGTCAACATCCGCAATGTCAGAACATTGAATACAGCCGGGGCACTCCCCTTTACGGACACCTGTTGAATACGGAACGTCAACATCCGCAATTTCAGAACATTGCATACAGCCCGGACACTCCCCCTTACGGACACCTGTTGATTACAGAACGTCAACATCCGCAATGTCAGAACATTGAATACAGCCGGGGCACTCCCCTTTACGGACACCTGTTGAATACGGAACGTCAACATCCGCAATTTCAGAACATTGCATACAGCCCGGACACTCCCCCTTACGGACACCTGTTGATTACGGAACGTCAACATCCACAATTTCAGAACATTGAATACAGCCGGGGCACTCCCCTTTACAGACACCTGTTGAATACGGAACGTCAACATCCGCAATGTCAGAACATTGAATATAGCCCGGACACTCCCCTTTACAGACACTTGTTGTCTACATCGCTGCAAAAGACTCGTTAATCCAGAAATTTGTTATACGGACGATTTCACACACCAAATCGTGTGTGTGTGTGTGTGCGTGTGCGTGCGTGCGTGCGTGCGTGCATTGAGGTTAACGCACTTTGATATACAGTTCAGAACATTCAAGTACAAAAGCAATGTTTGGTAGGACTGCGTACATCTATGTAGTATATACTACTCAAGTCAAGTTAAGGAACACCCACAATTGGAAGGCTGTGTGTTGCAGTACCCACCAGCCATGACAAATTAACTATCATCCCAAAAGCATCGGTTGTTCCTTAACTTCTTTTGAGTAGTGCATCAAGGGACGAAAGTAGGAGACACATGTGGCGATTTTCTTGACTTACCTGGACAACAATTTTATGTTGCGGGTGAAATCATATACTTGATTTGTCGTCGTATTACAACTAAAATGTATTTTCAACATGACACTGAATGTTATAACTTCCCGACTTGAAAATACACAGTTGGTGCGTACCTTCTGGGTGGTTTTCGCCAGCCGGTACCCTACTATGTATGTTCTGTCAGAGTTGACGGTCTGGTGTATGTGCGCTGTACTGACGGTGCGGCCTCTCTGTGCAGCTATCAGCTATGGGGTGATAACGACGGGCGTGGCCTACCTCGCCGGACTCCTTGGCGCCACGGTGTTGCAGATCGCCCTCAGCATATTCGGCATGGTTGGAGGACCTCTACTGGGGCTCTTCGTCAACGGGATGTTCGTCCCCTGTGTCAATGCTTGGGTGAGTTTACGGTTGAGTGAGTGAGTGAGTTTGGTTTTAGACGACTGCACCCCGCCGCCACCGCCCTTTCCCCACCCCCAGTTTACGGAGGAGTTTGTGTGTTCTCTAATGTAATGCCATGAGGACATTTTTTATGTTATGTTCAGCTATTGGTAAATTTAATAGAAGTATCTAATATGATTTTACGCCGCTTTTAGCAATATTCCATCAATATCACGGCGGTGGACATCGGAAATGGGCTTCACACATTGTACCCATGTCGGGAATCGAACCCGGGTCTACGGAGAGACGAGCGAACGCTTTAACCATTAGGCCGATCGCTGTCCCCTTCTCGACTTAAAGAATCCTCATTGTGTTATTGGGTGGTCTTGTAGTCCCTGTGATATACTCGGTGTTCAGTGAGTGAGTGAGTTTGGTTTTACGCCGCTTTTTAGCAATATTCCAGCAATATCACGGCGGGGGACACCAGAAATGGGCTTCACACATTGTACCCATGTCGGGATTCGAACACGGGTCTTCGGGGTGACGAGCGAACGCTTTAACCACTAGGCTACCCGACCGCCCCTGTTCAGTTAGGAACCTTTCATAAACTAGGGCGGTGGGTGAGAGGGAATAAGGGGAGGGTCCCCGAGACATATGACAGCCCCTAGGGCCATACAAAATAATACGCATATTTGGGGAGGGATATGAAAGTAAGGACATTTTATAATGATATAAAAATTGCTTTTGCATGTCTTGTCGGAGAGGTTCACGAGAAACACGAACAAGGACATGGGGAGGGTCTTCCACAAATATGACAAGCGTTAACGGAGGGTCCTTATTGTCAGTACATTTGTGCCACAGAATCCTCTGACAGCGCTTCAACACACACACACACACACACACACACACACACACACACACACACACACTCACACCACACAGTTATCTGTCTATACAATGTGACATGGATTCAGTCAGGCCTGGTGCATATTTGTCACTCCTTCATCTGTACATCCCCTACCCACAGACATACAGCTGGTCTGGGCCCCGTTCCACAAAGCCATCTTAGCGCTAAGGGGATCGTAACTCCAATACTTTAACACTAGCCTACGTAGCGCAAAGATCGCTTTGTGGAACGGGACCCTGGTCTTTCGTGTGACTGTCAACCTAGCTTATGCATGTATGAATCGCCTATTATTAACCAGATTCCGTATGACTCAACCAAGCTCATCTTAGTCGCCCGGTCGCCATGTAATTGACTAGCTACGCCTAGATGACTCGACTCAGCTGGTGACCTAGAGAACCTAGTACGGTTCTTGTCCGTCACTGTCTGGTGTTTTTGACACCATTCCCGTCATTTAGGTAGCCTAGTGGTTAAAGCGTTCGCTCGTCACGCCGAAGACCCGGGTTCGATTCCCGACATGGGTACAATGTGTGAAGCCCATTTGTGGTGTCCCCCGCCGTGATATTGCTGGAACATTGCTAAAAGCGGCGTAAAACCATACTCTCGCTTGTTATGACACATCATGCCAGGTTCGTGTAAATAAAAGTCACAAGAAATTTCCGTAAACATAAAAAAATATCTGCTTAACGCGGTTCCATTTTCAATCTCGCAACCGCTAAACAAATATCCGAGGACATCCCATTACGGGTCACATCACAAAGACCTTTTTCATCTGACCAATCAGAGCGTCACTTACCAGATCATGAATGTGACAGTCGGAATGTGATTTCTAATCATGCAACCTCGAAAACTTTTAACACGGGGTATTCCGAACGATACTTATGGGCTTAACGACTGAATGCACACAATCTAGACCATCTATTAGCCATTCCAGTATGTTCTTTTGTTTAGGTTTCAATTTTTTAATCGAGAGTTTTTCAAAATATGTTTCGAAGCGTAGTTGCCAATTTGAAATTAGTGCCGTAAAGCACGAAAAAGCTGCCTTCTGATTGGCTAATGTCGATTTCTTGTCAGTCATTCCATTGGTCTGTCAAAGTTCGCGCAAGGTCGGTCTGACGTGATCCTTAAAGGGGTGTTCCTGAAAAGATGAATGTATCCTGCCCCACCGGTGGCACCCGTCACAAACACATGCAACGGCAAGTTAATATACATAATAATACACTGGAATACATGGTACAAGTCAAAATAGGGAATTGTACAGACATCATTTTTTTCACTTCATTTACTGTGTCCGCCATCTTGTCTGCACAGGGAGCCGCGGCGGGGCTGGTGAGCAGTTTGTCCATTTGCATGTGGCTGGGAGTTGGCGGAGCCTTACACAGAGCCAAAAATGCCGTCGTCGCCAGCGCCATCAACAACACCACCGTCATCGCCTTCAGCAACACCACCATTAACACAACACACACTATTTTACAATTTATCAACACAAACACGTCGTATGTCAATCAGACTTCAAATAGTTCAACAGCGAGATATGTCGGCGATATGACGACGACGCTGCCGCCGCCCATGAACGTTACTGACGTTGCAACGACAACAAGGTAGGTAGGATTGGGTTTAAATTAAAACTACCGTTTGATTGCAAAGTTTTATTATCCATCAACTGTCGAGGGTTAGATTCCCGACTGGGGCAATATGGTAGCCCTGTGGGTAAAGCATTGGCTCGCAACACCGAAAGGGGGCACGGGTGGCTCAGTCGTCTAAGACGCCGCGATTCGCTGTGCGGTGTTGCGTCCCTTGGGCATGCCAGAAACCTATGATTGTGGGTTCGAATCCCGGTTCGCCCCGATTATGTTTCTAGGTTTGTCAGCACCATACCCGTGCTCGTGGGTTTCACCGAATTGGTAAACGTCTGAGACCTGCATCACTTCTGGCTTTCATCCCACATTAAGCTGACACGCCGCGATATAACTGGAATACTGTTAAAAGCGGCGTTAAACCCAACTCACTCACTCACGCAACACCGAAAACGACGCTTTGATTCCCGCTGTGATATAATTGTACGCGGTTGTGCAAAAACCAACTGGGAGTGCCAGTTTCAACACGATTGGTCAGTGTCATTGTGGTACTAGGCGTTATGACGTTATCGCTGTGATCGGGCTTGGTAGTAACGTCTTACTGTTCCATTAGGGGCGGTTGCTTGGTTGGCCGTTAGAAAGTCGGCATCATGTATTGACCCGTGAAGATCCGGGTTAGAACAGGTCTTCAGCGATCAATGCATGTCGTAGGAGCCGACTATGCTTGTAGGAGGCGACAAACGGGAAATCGGGTGGTCAGGCTCGTTGACTTGGTTGACGCATGTCATGGTATCCCAAGTGCGTGGATCGATGCTGATGATACCATGCACTGGATTGTCTGGTCCATACTCGATTATTTACAGACCGCCGTCATACAGCTGGTATATTGTTGAGTGCAGCTTTAAACAACATACAAACAAACAAACAAGTCTTATATTATTCCCCGCCACAACGAAGTTGACGGGGGAAAAGAAACGGGCTCCATCCCTCCGTCAGCTTCGTTTCCGGTGCAGAACTTGGAAACCATAGGAGAAAACTTTACGAAACCTGGTACATAAATTCACCATATGGTGTAGATGTGTCTTTTGCTATTAAGGTTTCCCCTGCATTTTTAATATATTTTATATAAATATGGAAGCAGTGGGTTTCATTTCCTGAGCAGAAGTCGAAGACTTTTAAAGATGTCTTTATGAAACTTGGTACACACATTCACCATATTATGTAGATGTGCCTTTTGCTATTTATGATTCCTCCGATTTTTTCTTTTCTTTTATATTAATGTTATACATTTGGCCTTGGAACTGAACTAAATGAAAATAGTGGGTTTCTTGTTCGGAGCTAAACTGGAAAATAACTTTTGAGATATCTTCAAGAAACTTTGTAAACGCATTCACTGTTATAAATGTAGACTTGAACTGAATGGAGGCAATCTTTTACCTCAGTTCTGTTACGATTATGCCCCGATTATGTTTCTAGGTTTGTCAGCACCATACCCGTGCTCGTGGGTTTCACCGAAGTGGTAAACGTCTGAGACCTGCATCACTTCAGGCTTTCCTCCCACATTAAGCTGACACGCCTTCATATAACTGTAATACTGTTAAAAGCGGCGTTAAACCCAACTCACTGACTCACTAATAATGCTGGATCCACCCTTGTCAAACAAATGGAACTGTTTTTTCACAGTCTGGATGCATTCCTGTCCAAGTGGTACAGCCTGTCCTATCTCCACTACGCCACAGTCGCCCTCATCGTGTCAGTCGTCGTAGGGTTCCTTGTCTCCGCTTGTACAGGTGGGGAAATACGTCATCCTCGATTATCCAGTGTATTATATTTCCCTTCTTTACCATTAGTACCCTGGACCCATTAGCAGCGATCACTTTCGGAAGTGACGCCATTCTCTCCATCACTAACGTAGCACAGAAGTGCTCCCGCCCATGAGAGTTATTTGATTGGACGGCTATTTTTAGCGTCTCGTCCCACTCTCCTACCCAGAGTTCCATGCGGCCGGCAGCCAGCCAGCATAGTACCTCTGCCACCACTCTCCTACCCAGAGTTCCATGCGGCCGACAGCCAGCTAGCATAGTACCTCTGCCACAGGCCAGCGCCATGTGACGATTCGTCACATCTTTCACAGTCCATTCAAGATATTGCATATGCTTTTCATCCGTTTCATGTTTGACAAGTCTACACATTTTCATAAACAAATGTCAAAGAATGGTTAACTTTCATTGAGAAAGTATGCAAATACGTAAAAATCTACTTGTTTTTGCGTAGTTATCCTATGTTTACATTGGTTGTACGGCTCCACGTGCTGTCATCGAAGCCCAACGGAGAGCTAGCGACACGGTCACTTTGATGCATAAATATATATTGTCATGCAACTCACTGTCGCAGTTGTAGTAGCATATCTATATAGTTATGCAAAACAATATGTAAAGCGCCCCCAAATACTTGCATTAGTCCGATCTATACTGATTTCTGAAAAAGCGCGTTTGTTTACAAACAAGAGAAAAGTCCGGTCACGTGATATGCAAATGAGCCTGTGGCAGTGGTGTTATGCTGAGTCACCACTGCGACGGAGTGTGCTCTGCCACAGGCCAGCGCCATGTGACGATTCGTCACATCTTTCACAGTCCATTCAAGATATTGCATATGCTTTTCATCCGTTTCATGTTTGACAAGTCTACACATTTTCATAAACAAATGTCAAAGAATGGATAACCTTCTTTGAGAAAGTATGCAAATACGTAAAAATCTACTTGTTTTTGCGTAGTTATCCTATGCTTACATTGGTTGTACGGCTCCACGTGCTGTCATCGAAGCCCAACGGAGAGCTAGCGACGAGGTCACTTTGATGCATAAATATATATTGTCATGCAACTGACTGTCGCAGTTGTAGTAGCATATCTATATAGTTATGCAAAACAATATGTAAAGCGCCCCCAAATACTTGCATTAGTCCGTTCTATACTGATTTCTGAAAAAGCGCGTTTGTTTACAAACAAGAGAAAAGTCCGGTCACATGATATGCAAATTAGCCTGTGGCAGTGGTGTTATGCTGAGTCACCACTGCGACGGAGTGTGGTCTCGTCCTTCAATTCGGGCTCAAAACGAGGCTATGATGGCGAAAGGGTCAGGGTATTTATCATAATAGAATGGAGATATGTACGATTTTCGTATTGCACTGTCTAGTCGATAATGGGAATACGTTTGACATTTCCGTGAACGGACATGCCTTCCTATATGTAATGTAATCTATCTTTGTATTGGTCAAGTTACGAAATACGTCGAATAGCTGGAATATGGCTGAGTGCAGCGTTAAACAACAAACCAAAACGTCCTTCACTGAGCATGACCTCTTTATGTCCAGATTTGACATATTGATGATAGGGAAGGCTTTCCAGATACATACACTGAGTTGTAATATTTGCGGGTAAGATCGAATCCATTGATTTGGCTAAAACAGAGCATCATCAGCGTCTTTGCTGAACACGTTTATAAAGCCTGGGATATTTTAAAAATGGACTAACTAGAGTATTGGTTGTTTCTAAAATATCAATCACTGGACTATCTGGGCCCACTTGCACGAAGCGATCTTAGCGCTAAGATGATCGTAACTCCCATACTTTAGCATAGGCTTAAAATAGTCTTAGCGCTAAGATCGTTTTGTGCAAGTGAGCCGTGGTTCAGACTCTATGATATATAGCCGCCATATAGCTGGAATATTGCTGAGTGCTTCTTTAAACAACAAAGTCGATGAACAGAAATGTGTACGTTCTCTACTGTATGGCTTGACTGGGCTCTTACCTACCTAAAGAAGTTGATAGACAGCAGTCGATTTCTCGTAGGACGCCACACAGCATACATTCACTCGTCCTCGGTATCGAATGAAAACAATAGAAAACAACGAGATGTTTGTTTGTGAAGTAAAGCAGCTCTCTGATCATCCGCCAAGCGTTACACTTTTTATCGTAACTCATCGTACGCATGCACACTTATAACCGGATATGACACAGATTTGCCCCACCTCTTATCGCCGGGTTCTGTTGGGTAAAAGGGTTAAGTTTGCTATGCGAACTGTTCGTGGGACCAGTTTATTGTATGGCAATTTGTGCCCACAACCGTTCCTGGAGGGCTACCATAATAGTACACATGCATAGTAGATAGAAAAATCAAATCCATTATGCACGTTCCTTTTTATCTATTTGTTCAATTTTAAGGTTTTAATAAGAAGCGATACGTGGACAGAGAGACCTACTATGATGTACTGCGTTGCTGTAAGTCTGATACAGATAAAAAGGTGAGTAATTGTCTGGCATGGACAACATATACCTGTGAAATCAGATGTTCTTCTAGAAAAAACAACGTCCATAAGGCCACATTTAGCAATATTTCTTCCCCATGGTGTGCCAAATGACTGCCTTCTACATGTATAAGTCATTAATTAATGCTCTGCGTGAAACTGAGACATTGTTTCTGTGTCACGCCTTTTAAAGGGATGTTCGAGGAATTGAAATCTAAACAACAGGTATTGCTTATAGAGTAAAGTCCCCCTTTAACGTATACACGTTGCTATGGTGCTGACCAATCTCATTAAAATCAGATCTTAGTTCTCGCTACCGCTAAACAAAGATCTGAGGACATCCCATTACGGTTCACGTCAGACCGACCTTGCGCGAACTTTGACCGACCAATGGAATGACCAATCAGAAGGCAGCTTTCTCGTGCTTTACGGCACTAATTTCAAATTGGCAACTACGCTTCGAAACATATTTTGACAAATTCTCGATTACAAATTTGAAACCTGAACAAAAGAACATTCTGGAATGGCTAATAGATGGTCTAGATTGTATGGATTCAGTCGTTAAACCCGGGACTATCGTTTGGAATATCCCGTGTTAATGTTTTCGAGGTTGTATGATTAGAAATCACATTCCGACTGTCATTTTCATGATCTGGTAAGTGACGCTCTGATTGGTCGGATGAAAGGTCGTTCTGACGTGACCCCTAATGGGATGTCCTCAGATCTTTGTTTAGCGGTAGCGAGAACTAAGGTCCGATTTTAATGAGATTGGGTGCTGACATACAAGGACTCATGATGGTGGCATATCATTTGCTTTTTGATCGTAGAACTATGGCACGCCTACCCCCCGCAACCCATGCTTGCCGTTAAAGGCGTAACAGGCGACTAACGGGATCGGGTGGTCAGGCTCGCTGACCCTGGTAGATGCATGTCATCGTGTCCCAATAACGTGGATCGGTGCTTATGATATCAATCACTTGATTCTCTGGTCCAGACTCGATTATTTACAGACCGCCGTCACATAGCTGAAATATTGTTGAGTACGGCGTTAAACAACATACAATCAAACAAACAAACAAGCCTACCCCCAACCCCACACACAAAAACACTTACCTCACCCACCCTACACACAAACATACATACCCATGAATATGCATTTTATTTCGAAACCAATGATATATTATCAAATTACGCATATTGTATACATGTTGAAATGTGGATGGGTCAGGTCCTTCTTAACTACAGGATACCTTTTCGTGTGGTAATAGGTTGTGTTTTGTTGCAGTACGACCTTAATTCGTATGGGATTACGGACTTGTCGCAGACAGACAGGAACGGCAAGAAGACAGAACTAGTCAACCTCCGTGACTCCACCACCACCTCCCACGAGTCTATACACGATGGCTCCCATGTCTGACAATGTTAACATCAACCAGCCTGGTTCCCTGGGTATGCTGCGCTGGCGCTCCGTGTAGCGCTTGCGCAGCATACCCAGGGAACCAGGCTGTAACTTCATAGGCCAGACCTTTTTAGCGACCTTGGTTTACCAATATGACAATTCCCAACAATTGAAATGTGAAAAGAGTCAGAAAAGAATTAAAAGCTAGGGGGCCTTTTACTCCACCGACCAGAAATAAGTATTTTAAAATAAAAATGGTCGCTATCAATGTTAACTAAAACCTGTTTATAATTCATCTTACAAATTTCAAAACAACGATTTGTGACGAATGCCTGTTCCTTCGCATCCACAGTTCCCCCAACCTAATTAACATTTTTCGGAAAACAAAAAAACAAACAAAAAATTGATTTTATATTTTATGCGACTTACCGACCTGAATTTGGACCCCAAATCCGTAAACCACTTAAAAGATCTGGCCTCATATGTTTTGTTGTCTATACAGTGTGGTGAATCAGGTCACAGGTATTTGATTACCGCTGCACCAGCCAGATCCAGGCGACAGGATTAAGAGGACAGTCTTGCATTGTACGTTCAGCGTGTGTATGGGAGAAGCAGGAAGTTTTTCTGCAACATTTGAGATTTCATATTTTATCGAACTTTGAACTCATCTTTCAACTGTTCATATATTCAGAGAGACATATATTTGCATTAGTGTGTAAGGTGAAAGTATCATTTCAGACCAGCGTGCCTTGACGAATGCATTAACCTTACAGGTAAAACAGGGTGTATCACTTTATGATGTAAAGCCAAGCTGTGTATTAGTGTAATGGGCTTCCTGTGTGCTCATATCACGAATTCTCTGTTTTCCTTACATCAGAAGTACACCTGTGCATGACCTGCACGTGCGTCGCAATGTCTAATGGACTCTAAAGCTTATGTTTTTATCCGAATGTTTATGTTCGCGTCATAAAATGATGACGGACAAGAACCGTATGTTTAGACTTTTGATAATTTCTATTTCTCTTATATTCTCGTGTTTCTTATTCAACGATAATCCCGTTGATATATCTTCTGTCATCACGGGTTTTTTTATTCACCTATACAGTAAACTACGGTTATAACGAACACGCTTATAACGAACTGACGGATATAACGAACTTACGTTTTGGTCCCGACTATTTGCTTTAGTTATGCTGTATATATGCTTATAACGAACTACGGTTATAACGAACTAAATTTAGTAGTCCCTTTGAGTTCGTTATAACCGTACTTTACTGTAATTCAGTTTTTCTGTCTCGACGTTTTTATTTTATTCAGCTATAATTCGTTGCAAAATATCTTCTGTCATCACGTTTCTAGCTATCATCCTGTTGCTGTATCCTGCATGGGTTGCTTCTTCATCCCTATACTCCCATTTGGTGTGCGTGCATCCTCTATAATGTGTTTGTGTTTTTGTCCAGAGCTGTTGTGAACCTCATAATGAGAACTTCCAACTAATGGATGCCATTCAAAGTCGCTTTGCAGAGTTGCGTCCCTTATGCGTGCCAGAAACCTATAATCGTGGCATTACGAATCCCGGTTCACCCTGATCATGTTTCCTTGTAAGTACCCGCATCACTTCGGGCTTTCCTCCCACACCAAGCCAGCACGCCGAGATATAACTTAAGTACTCACTCACTTACTCACCGTCAGAGGTCAACATCTACGGCCTTGACTGATACCAGGTTCATGTACCTTGTACGAGGCCGCCTCCTTGGTCTAGTGGTAGAGCGTCTACCCGCAGAGCGGAAGGTCGGGGGTTCGATCCCCGGCCGCGTCATACCAAAGGACGTTAAAAGATGGTACTTGTTGTTACCCTGCCTGGCGCTCGGCATTAATGGTCCAAAACAAGGACCGGCCGGCTCGGAGTCAGTGTACTGTGTCTTAGGGGGGGTATTCATGTTAAACTGCGGCATGGTATCTCAATGAGCAAGCACTATAAATCGGCATCAGTCCAGACTAGTACACACACAGCGCATGAAGTGAGTGAGTGGGGTTTACCGCCGCTTTTAACAGTATTCCAGTTATATCGCGGCGTGTCAGCTTAACGTGGGAGGAAACCCGAAGTGATGCAGGGCTCAGACATTTACCACTTCGGTGAAACCCACGAGCACGTGTATGGTGCTGACAAACCTAGAAACATAATCGGGGCGAACTGGGATTCGAGCCCACAATCATAGGTTTCTGGCGTGCCCAAGGGACGCAACTCTGCACAGCGAATCGCGGCGCCTTAGACGACTGGGCCACCCGTGCCCCCCACAGCGCATGTACGTCGCTATATCAGTGCAATAATCTTGAACGCGACGTAAAACTCCATTACACCGTACCTGCGACCGTCCCATGTGTTGCCCTGTTATTGCGTTGTTGTTGTGTTTGAAAGTGGGAGGTGCTTTATATTATCCTTGTCATTTTCAGTCCTGAATTTGACGGTCATTTGTAATGGACAAACTAGTCTAGCTAGTGAAGGGTAAACAATATGCTGTCATGTATTCTGTGTCTAGTCCATCAGAGCAGGTGACCAGTGATCAAACGCGCTTCAATTTTCAATGTAGAGTAATGTCCCTTAACTATGCCAGGATCCGACTATCCGAAAAACGTTGTTAATAGTGGTTGATCTGCCAGCAACATGAGTGGGTAATGTGTGGATCATGAGTGGGTCATGGGTGGATCATGGTAGTTGCCTGCAGGTGGGTTCAGCTCTTGGCATAACTACTGAGAAGTCATAAGCATATCATAAAACATACATATCAATCACACTGAATGCCAAATGTATCAAGAATGAGCTCACAATCAATCAAGAGGCAGGTGAAATAATATGGGTGTCATGTCAGAGGTTCTATGCCTCGTAAACAAGCTGCCCAGGCCTCTGTTCCTCAAAGCAATCTTGGCGCTAACGGGATCGTAAGTCCCATACGTTAACATAGGCTTACGATCACCGTAGCGCTAAGATCGCGTTGAGGAACGAGGCCCTGGCCTCTGTACCAGCTGACTGGAAGACGATGCGGGTTACTTGCATCGTGACCAGCTGGTTTGGCCACTCTTTTTATATTTTATGTTTCACGGATGTATTCCTGCTTTCCCAAACAAGTTCAGTCGAAATACAAATAAATATAAATAGCTCTTTAAATCATTTATTTATGTATATGAAAGTCGTTCTGCCGTGGAGTTAAAACTGCCCGTGGCCTCTTCAATCACTGATGGTGATGTAGACATGGCATGTATATATACAATTTTGGGGTATAAGAGGGACTATAATAGTAAAGGGGGGGGGGGGGGGGGTTCATTTCTTTCTTTTCCAGCTGCTTTTCAGTTATGGTGGCGGGCCTGTGAAACGAAATAGATAAAAATATATGTGGCCTCATGTTTCATGAAACATGGTTGACATTCCAATTGTAAATACATGTGTCAGTTTCGAGAATGAGCAGAGAACATACCAGCAATTCTTGCTGGAATTGTTTTAAGTATCGATGTCGCTGTAATATTTATTCTGAAATGCTTGTACAATTGAATATGCTTGGTTTGAAGATGTGGGAGATACTTTTGTATCAATGCTTCATGATCAAATAAATAGGTTGCTTTATGAGTTGGTCCTTACGCCTAATCACTTCAGCCAAGTGGCGGCCAATCACCCAGTCCTGGAGGCAATTATGTTGTTGAGAGAACTACACGATCACTTGTGATGCCTGAAGATTATATCTTGTTTGTGTCTACGTTTAACCGCCGTCATTTAGGTGGAATATTGTTGATTGCGGCGTTAAACAACAAACATGGATTATAGGGGAATAGTCTTGAGCCCACTAGTGGATACGCACATGGATAGTATGTATCTGGCACTGAGAGTTATGGAAGCGATGACATTCTCCTGTTACATCATGGAATCTTGTGCTTTCTTTTGTGTTTTTCGCTGCACTCGGCAATGTTCGCCGCACTCGGCAATGTTCGCTGCACTCGGCAATGTTCGCGACAGCCAGACAAACCATTATTTGAATTTGTAACGTTTTGTTTGTTGGTTTGTTTGTTGTTTAAGGCCGCACTCTGCAATATTCCACCTATATGACGCCGACTTGTAAATAATTCAGACCAGGCAATCCAATGATTGATATTATGAGTAACGATAGGGGTACGCGGGTGACATGCAATCAACAAAGTCGCTGAGCCTGACCACCTGAAGAGGTTGTCAGAATAGTTACAACGTGACAGGTAGAGCCATGAAGACGACCTCAGTTCTGCAAGGCCTGTCACGTCAGCAACACCAGAAATGATCCGGAGAATCCACGATATGGTGATGACCGACCGGCGAATGAACGTTATATTGCAGGATCATTAGGCATTTCCCAGGATCGAGTACACTCCATTATTACAGAGACTTTTGCAATGAAGAGAGTACCAAAGCTTCTGACATCTGATAAAAAAATGCATCAGGCACAAGACACGTGATAATCTGGCTCTGTTTGAAGCTGATCCAGAAAGGTTCCTGCAACGATTTGTGACTATGGCTGGCTACCTGGGTTCGCCACTTTTAAACAACAATAATAAATAGTAAAAGCATTTGACATCACCACCACCAAAGGAGGCAAAGACTGTCCCTACAACATGAAGGGTAATGGCCTCTGTGTTCTAGGATGCAAAGGGTGCCATCATGGTAAACTATCTTCCGATGGCCTGCAAATACACAGAGCATATTATGCTGCTCTTTTGTTGCTACGAAACGTGGGAAGCTGATAAAAGGTGAGCTCACTCTCATCAGGACAATGCGCCAGTGCACGTTTCAGTCTAAGCCATGCCAACAATCCACGAGTGTGGCTTTCAACTCCTTCAGCACCCACCTTTTTGTCCTGATCAAGCTCCGTCAGACTGTCATCTCTTCCCAAACCCATTTCGACTCAAACGGTAACGTCATTGCAGCAGTGGACAGCCAAGTGGACGGACTGATACGAAACTGGGATAAATACCCCCCTCCCCCAACATCGTTGCCAAAAGTCTATCAACGTTGAAGGGGGTTAATTTGAAAAATAAATACTTTAATGTCTTTGGGTCACGTCTTTCTATGAGAGCCCGTTACTCGCCTCTTACCACAAGATCAATCGCCTTTTAAGGCAAGCATGGGTTGCTGAAGACCTATTCTACCCCGGGTCTTCGGGGGTCATGAAGGCCACAGTGATTGAGTTTGTTGGGTAACCACCTATTAGCTATATTACCATGTTATTTACCAGCTATAACCAGGACGTGTGGACAGTCAAGTCAGCACCAGATAAACCTGTGATGGATATTATGAGCAATAACACGAGACACATGAAACAAGTCACATACCCCACCACCACATCCATGCATACCCTACATTAAGCCTTGGAATCCTCACAGAATGTGGCTTTGGTTGGTTGGTTGGTTGTTTTACGCCGCACTCAGCAATATTCCAGCTATATGACAGCTGTCTGTAAATAATCGGGTCTGGACCAGACAATCCTGTGATTAATATCATGAGCATCGATCAACGCAATTGGGATCGATGACATGCATCAACCAAGTCAGGGAGCCTGACCACCGATCCCGTTAGTCGCCTTTTACGACAAGCATAGTCGCCTTTTATGGCAAGCATGGGTTGCTGAAGACCTATTCTACACCCTGGATCTTCACGGGTCGAATGTGGCTTTGAATAATATGTCAGTAGTGGGTTTGACCTTAATGCAGAGGAAATTTACACAGGTAATTGAGGTTACCCACACTGTTGAAACCAACCACATCCTCATGGACCAAGGATTATCAAGAAATCCGAGCCAAGATCATAGGATCCTGGAACAGAATCTTGCAGAAGAGTTCTAGACTTAAGGTAGGGAGCCTTTGACAGCATGAGGTAAGCTTATCACACCCGGGTTTGTCTCTACAGCCAAATTACTGTGTTAATTACTATGAAGTACGGGACTAAGAGCTGACACTGCATCTCCTTTCAATGATTGTGAAGATCCAGGTAAGAATAGGTCTTCCCAATGTATCCCAATTATTATTATCTTGATTACTTACAGACCACCCTCATATAGCTGGAATATTGCTGAGTTCCGTCTTAAACAACAAACAAATTCAATGGTGGTCCAACATTTGCTGAAAGGAGGGTGGTCCGATCCCTGGCTGCCTCCTCACACAATGATCGGTCGGTTCGGAGTCTGTATACTGTGCTAGTGTTATATCCATGTTGCATGGTATCTCAGTTGGCTAGCGCTGAAAAACGGACATAAGTCTGTACTTATACAAGCAGTCAAACTCGCATATGCACGTTATTAAAAAAGTGCACCAAACTTGAACGTGACGTTGAACCCCATTTCATCTGATCTGAAAGGAAGGATAAGACTTGGTAATATCACATCAGGGAACAACACCACCAATGTTTGGGATCGAACCCAGGCCTCTGCTGAACACTGCAACCACTGTGCTACGCCATGACACATTTGAGAAACACAACAACCACAGCAGTATCTTTGTTGTTCTTTTATCACATGATATGTTACATAGTATAGTGGAATGGCTGATTTACAGACAGTGCATCAATAAACAATATAACAATAAGTACAAGTGGCACCGACGACAGCATGCACAGTGCACATCCACATTACAACACGTCGTGCATACTTCCATCAACAAGCTCAACTCAACAAGCAGTATCACAGCAGTTCCATTCAAAATGCCAATTAATATAGTGCCAGTTCAGGTAACCATAGCAACAGGAATGTAAACTTTCAAATGTTAATCAAAAATAAATAATTTGTTTTGAAATTTTGGCATCAACAATATGATATCGTGTCTTTCAATAATTGGTCAACCTTGGAAGAAATATTCAATCATCTCACACTGGCCAAGCTGGGTAAAAAAAAGCAAAGTATACAAAAATATAATTCGTCCAAATACAGTTGGAAGATAACCTGTGACAATGTAGTAAATAGTATTTGTAACAAAGGTAAGATGTAACTGAGACAAGTACAGTCACAACCAGAATGGCGAGGCCAGCCTTCCACAGAGAAATAGCAAGACGACTTACAGCCACACTGCAGGAGAACACAAAAGAAGCTGATGATAGGGGTCGCGGCAGTGGCAAATCCAGAAGGGTGGTTACTTTTCTAAATTTGAACTTGGGATGACTCTTCTTACCAGGCCACATTTTTTTAATTTTATGTTTCATGGATATATTCCAGCTTTTCCACATAAAATAAATAAAATTAAAAATAAAGAAATAAAAATAAAATTAAAAATAAATAGTTATGTCAATTTTTACTTCTGCCATGGAGTTAAATTGCAGTTTGCTTCTTGAATCACTGACAGTGATGTAGACATGGAATTTATCTATAACATTTTATATTATATAAGGGTCTATATTACTAACTAGAAACAATAAAAATAAATATTTTTATGTTTAATTTATTTCAATGCCAGCTGCTTTTCAGTAGTGGCGGCAGGTCCGTGAAACGAAAAATAAAAAAGTGTAGCCCAAAAGTTCCAAAGTTTGAATGCTTGCCTTCAGTTTCAGGAATTTTTAAGGAGCATTTTTTCTTTATGTTAGAGAACCTGGACCGTGATTCGGGTCTGTTAACCAGGCAGGACAACCCTATCATCTGTGTTTAAGTAGAGTGTTGTGTAGGTACCTTGCAATTGGTTTGCAGAATGGCACCTAGGAATGTAGGGTTAAATGCAAAAATCAGTTTCATAAATTACAACTGAAGAATTAATTAAAAGAAACTGTTGAAAGTATCACACTAATAACATTACTTTTGGCAGAATATACAGCATTATTTGTTAAACCTTTTCAGCAATTAGTAGAAAGCTGAGTGTGATGGTTTAGGTTTTAACTGTTTATACAGTTTTGATATGCTTTCCATTGTCATGACAAAGCAGCATCCATTGACGATGTGATGCCTTGGACCACCCTGAGCATCTCCACCATGTCATAGTGACATACTGTCAAGCAAGCCACTGAATCTCACCTCCAAGTTGAATTTTGTCTACTCTAGTGGCAATCAATAGAATGTAGGGACCTATTCTAACCCTGGTCCCACTGATCCTTAAATCAACATGTGTCAGTAGAGTGTTGGGGGCCTATTCTAACCCTGATCCTTAAATCAACAAGTGTCAATAGAGAGTAGGGACCTATTCTAACCCTGTTCCCACTGATCCTTAAATCAACATGTGTCAATAGAGAGTAGGGACCTCTTCTAACCCTGTTCCCACTGATCCTTTATCAACATGTGTCAATAGAGAGTAGGGACCTCTTCTAACCCTGTTCCCACTGATCCTTAAATCAACATATGTCAACAGAGAAAAGGGACCTATTCTAACCCTGGTCCCACTGATCCTTAAATCAACATGCGTCAATAGAGTGTTTGGGACCTATTCTAACCCTGGTCCCACTGATCCTTAAATCAACATGTGTCAATAGAGAGTGGGACCTCTTCTAACCCTGATCCTTAAATCAACATGTGTCAATAGAGAGTAGGGACCTCTTCTAACCCTGGTCCCACTGATCCTTAAATCAACATATGTCAATAGAGAGTAGGGACCTCTTCTAACCCTGTTCCCACTGATCCTTAAATCAACATATGTCAACAGAGAAAAGGGACCTATTCTAACCCTGGTCCCACTGATCCTTAAATCAACATGCGTCAATAGAGTGTTTGGGACCTATTCTAACCCTGGTCCCACTGATCCTTAAATCAACATGTGTCAATAGAGAGTGGGACCTCTTCTAACCCTGATTCTTAAATCAACATGTGTCAATAGAGAGTAGGGACCTATTCTAACCCTGTTCCCACTGATCCTTAAATCAACATGTGTCAATAGAGAGTAGGGACCTATTCTAACCCTGTTCCCACTGATCCTTAAATCAACATGTGTCAATAGAGAGTAGGGACCTATTCTAACCCTGTTCCCACTGATCCTTTATCAACATGTGTCAATAGAGAGTAGGGACCTCTTCTAACCCTGGTCCCACTGATCCTTAAATCAACATGCGTCAATAGAGTGTTGGGGACCTATTCTAACCCTGGTCCCACTGATCCTTAAATCAACATGTGTCAATAGAGAGTGGGACCTATTCTAACCCTGGTCCCACTGATCCTTAAATCAACATGTGTCAATAGAGAGTGGGACCTCTTCTAACCCTGATCCTTAAATCAACATGTGTCAATAGAGAGTAGGGACCTATTCTAACCCTGGTCCCACTGATCCTTAAATCAACATATGTCAATAGAGAGTAGGGACCTCTTCTAACCCTGTTCCCACTGATCCTTAAATCAACATATGTCAACAGAGAAAAGGGACCTATTCTAACCCTGGTCCCACTGATCCTTAAATCAACATGCGTCAATAGAGTGTTTGGGACCTATTCTAACCCTGGTCCCACTGATCCTTAAATCAACATGTGTCAATAGAGAGTGGGACCTCTTCTAACCCTGATCCTTAAATCAACATGTGTCAATAGAGAGTAGGGACCTCTTCTAACCCTGGTCCCACTGATCCTTAAATCAACATATGTCAATAGAGAGTAGGGACCTCTTCTAACCCTGTTCCCACTGATCCTTAAATCAACATATGTCAACAGAGAAAAGGGACCTATTCTAACCCTGGTCCCACTGATCCTTAAATCAACATGCGTCAATAGAGTGTTTGGGACCTATTCTAACCCTGGTCCCACTGATCCTTAAATCAACATGTGTCAATAGAGAGTAGGGACCTCTTCTAACCCTGTTCCCACTGATCCTTAAATCAACATATGTCAACAGAGAAAAGGGACCTATTCTAACCCTGGTCCCACTGATCCTTAAATCAACATGCGTCAATAGAGTGTTTGGGACCTATTCTAACCCTGGTCCCACTGATCCTTAAATCAACATGTGTCAATAGAGAGTGGGACCTCTTCTAACCCTGATCCTTAAATCAACATGTGTCAATAGAGAGTAGGGACCTATTCTAACCCTGTTCCCACTGATCCTTAAATCAACATGTGTCAATAGAGAGTAGGGACCTATTCTAACCCTGTTCCCACTGATCCTTAAATCAACATGTGTCAATAGAGAGTAGGGACCTATTCTAACCCTGATCCCACTGATCCTTAAATCAACATGTGTCAATAGAGTGTTGGGGACCTATTCTAACCCTGGTCCCACTGATCCTTAAATCAACATGTGTCAATAGGGAGTAGGGACCTATTCTAACCCTGATCCTCACTCAAGTCAACAAGTTTTATGCAAATATCACAAATGGTTTTGAGTTCCAACCTTGCTGTCTTGTTGCAATGAAGATAAAAACAAAAGAATTCAAACCTTGAAAGCCAATAGGCACCACCCGTCTTGGTCAAACTGTGTGAATGAGCTATCCTAAACTGTTTCTGAGTGATGACCTTGAACCAAAACCCGATGGCGAACACAGCTAATAAATGCTTCATCATACAGATGCTTCATCACACAGATTCTATCTGTAAAGGGTATCAAAATAATTTTTTTTGTGAAAAAGCATCCGAGGTATTTGGAATGAAATGGTTGAAAGACAATGACATTATCGTGTAACTGAAGGCCGGACAGGTTTTAGAAACCTGGAACAGGCTCCTCTATAAATAGTATTTACATGTGACACAGTCGGGCCACATCTACTGCATAGCACTCACCACTGGGACTAACGATATATGTAAATTAACAATATATGTACACATATTCACAATTGAGCCACATCAACACAAACACTTCATAACAAATATGCATCACACATAAGTCAGCAACCATTCCATAAACAGTGAAATATCCAGTATTTCCTCTAGACAAATGCAATATTTACAAAACAAACGTCATGACAACATTAGGCAACAAAAAAGTCTCTTGTTTCATGGTATTTATCTGAGTGAACTTGAAGTGATTTTTTGGGACGTACACCAATCCAGCTGTTCCCCAGATACACTGATTTTGGCCCCAAAATTCAGATACATACGTCAACAAAATGTTTTACACAAAATACACAATTTCAAAAAAAATAATTATTTCCTCAAATTGTTAAGTAAGCAGAGAAAGGAATGGAGGAATAGGGAAAGAAACAAGTTTAGAGTTACCTCCCTTCCATTATCACCGAGGATCTGTCACGATTCTTCCAAGATTGTTGCACATTTTCAACAGGCTTTAATTAGAATATCAAAAATAGTTTATTTATATCAAAAGCTACAGAGAATAAATTTACTGAAACTAACAGCTTTTCATATGGTTTTTTGAGCCTGCGCAATAGTAAACCAAATTTTAAAATCTGTCTGGCCTCAAGTGTCTTAACCTAAACATTCACTTTTGGAACAGAGGCCAACTTTGTTATTAATTACTTCTGTATGGATATGCCCTCCCAAATTATCATAATACATGATATTTACCATACAGAAACATACAAGGCTAATAATTTCTTAATCATGTGATGACATTCTTAAAATAATTCAGATTTGAAGTTTCTATCCTTTTCAGTAACTTCAGAAACCAGAAGCCTGAGTGAATTGCCCCATTTATGACACAGGGCTAAAGGACTTACCAGCACGTTTGTTTACATCAGTACCTACCCATCAGGGCATCACTATCTTTGAAAGTAGACACAATTTATGGATAGCAACTTCTTAAATTACTATAAAGCCGACGTTTCGGTATAGATTCTTAAACCGTTGTCAAGCAGGACTGAATGAGTGAGTGAGTGAGTTGGGTTTAACGCGGCTTTTAACAATATTCCAGTCATATCATGGCGTGTCAGCTTAATGTGGGAGGAAAGCCCGAAGTGATGCAGGTCTCAGACGTTTACCACTTCGGTGAAACACACAAGCATGGGTATGGTGCTGACAAACCTAGAAACATAATCGGGGTGAACCAGGATTCGAACCCACAATCAGAGGTTTCTGGCATGTTCAAGGGACGCAACTCTGCACGAATCGCGGCCTTAGACGACTTGGCAACCCGTGCCCCCAGGACTGAATGAAGAGCATGGTACAGAATATATACAGTAGGTGGAGGAATCACAGTAACAACAATTGCATACATGTGTGGCATAACTACTGTTAATCCTCCACCTACTATATATATTCTGTACCACGTTCTTCACTCAGTCCTGCTTGAAAACGGTATAAGGATCCATACCAAAATGTCGCCTTAGTAATTAAAGAAGTTGTTTTCTATAAATTGTGTCTACTTTGTCATCCGTCAACTTCTAAGTAATGCCTATCAAACAATTCAGATGATGAACAGAGCTTTTGGATCTTGATACAATGATTATCAGATAAGTTTATAACATTGATAACACTATCGATTATATGATAACGATGTTATCTTCCCACTGCATCTGCTCACTTATTTAATTAATGAAAAAAAACCTCTGAGGTAGTTAAACTTTGGAGAGGGAGGAACCCTTGGATGAGAAATTGGTTTTAAAACCATTTATGAGAGCGTATGATGTTTACTTGTATTCTCATTTTGACCCCTGACATCTTGGGGATGACCTCCCCTGCTACTGAATGGTGGATAATCTGCCGTTGCCATGCTTGGAAAAGGCGGGGGTGGGTGTGTGGGTGGGTGGGTGGGTGGTTTGGGGGGGGGGGGAAGAGAGAGAGAGAGAGAGTAGGAGGGGGAAGGAGGAGGAGGAGGAGAGAGAGAGAGGAGATTCTGTGATTTGAAAATGATGTGTGCAGCCCCTTAGAAACAAAAGACTTTTTTCTTGGTCAGGAAACAACACATCTGAGACATATGTACCTCTTAAGGCCTGTTCAGAAGTAACATGGAAGACAAAAATATTGATATATTTGCAGGGTTCATACAGATCCGGAGAGGATGTGTCTTTCATGAACAACATGAACAACATGAAAAACATCCTTCAAAAACAAGGCAATACACTGCCAGAAAACAGGAAGTTGACAATTGGTTGGTATGCCCTTCTCACCTTTGTCACACACATAGGTAACAGAAACTGCAGCACTGTTCAAGGACTGGAGATTAATTAACTCATTTTCAAGCACAGTAAATGCAAAACCAAAAAATGTGCACTTTTCATCAAAGACTTATTTTTCAATCACTTTTGAAATCTGTATGAACTCTGTGATCATTTCATGTAATGAGCCGACTATTAACCCTGTCAGTGTCACCAAACATAAACCCTTTCTATTTCACAGTATATTAACCCTTTCAGTTTCACAATATATTAACCTTGTCAGTGTCACGGTATATTAACCCTTTCAGTTTCACAATATATTAACCTTGTCAGTGTCACAGTATATTAACCCTTTCAGTTTCACAATATATTAACCTTGTCAGTGTCACAGTATATTAACCCTTTCAGTTTCACAATATATTAACCTTGTCAGTGTCACAGTATATTAACCCTTTCAGTTTCACAATATATTAACCTTGTGTCACAGTATATTGACCCTTTCAGTTTCCCAATATATTAACCTTGTGTCACAGTATATTAACCCTTTCAGTTTCACAATATATTAACCTTGTGTCACAGTATATTAACCCTTTCAGTTTCACAATATATTAACCTTGTGTCACAGTATATTGACCCTGTCAGTTTCACAATATATTAACCTTGTCAGTGTCACAGTATATTAACCCTTTCAGTGTCATAGAATATTAACCCAGTCACTGTCACAGAATATTAACCCTCCCATGTTGGATAAACAATGGCAGACCTAACCTATGTCCCAGGATCAAATTGGCCCATTTCATTTCCAGGAATCAGCTTGCTAAATCACAGTGTTGAAGGAATTTGTTTCCATGAAATTCAATTCCTTCTTCTAAACACATATCTCATAGTGGCTTTGCTTTCAACACAGTAGTTTTTGATGAAATGGAAGAGTTCCACAGAACACAAAATAGCAGGACTACAAAATCCAATCCTTGCTGCTCCATGCACTATGCATAATCGATACCATTCGATAAATAGATTGTAGAAGCTCTATTATCAGGAAACAACTCACTCGAAGACACGCTTAAAGACATTTTGCATTAAGAGCATGTAATTTGCAGGCACCACTTGTTGCCATGTCTTTGGTCGCCATCTTGGATTAGTGTGACAGTAGTCTTGCATCGTGCCTCCTCTCCTGGACCACGCGTCTCCTGGACCAAACGGCTCCTGGTCCACACGGTTCCTGGTCCACACGGCTCCTGGACCACACGGCTCCTGGTCCACACGGCTCCTGGTCCACACGGTTCCTGGTCCACATGGCTCCTGGACCACACGGCTCCTGGTCCAAGGATCTGGCAGAATCTCTGATCATCATTAAGTCAGTGCTAATAGACCTTGTACAGATAGATCAAGAGGTCTAGCTTTCCCTTGCTTGCACTAAAAAAATGTCAAGCTGATTTCAGCATCCACAAGACATCATGTGACCTGGGAAATCATGGCAACTTTCACACACCGTAACACACACGCAAACTTTCGTTGAACCTCAAATGTCATGCTTATTTCCAACAACCTTAAAGTGTCACGCTAAGATCATTTGGCTTTCAGAATGTCATGCTCAGTTCAATGGACCCCGGATGTCATGCTAACAGGGATGAGTGCAGTCTCTGACTTTAGCAACAAGTCTGACGCCCGAGTCCAGTAAAACGTCTTTCGGTCAAGAAACCGTTGCTGTTTTAGGTCCATACATTAAACCAAGGTTTACTGAAAATGATGCCACGTGAAAAGTTCCGGGAAGTAGACTCAAAGCTTTTAGCACAGAATGAGTGTCAAGCCAAGTTCCACTAACCGTAACTTCCTTGAAACAAAAATGTCATGTTTATGTCCCTGGACTGTGAAATGTTGTGCGTGACTTTCAAGGAGGTTTCAACACCCTGCTGGTATCCTTGGCCATTGTTTAGGAAGCTGGAATGACAGGTCACATTGATTCCCTTAACTCTGAACACAATCCACCTACATGTGAACCTGTGCCACTTATGCCATAATCATGGTAATGAACTGAAATGCTTTCACTAACTGCACAGCAGAAATCTTTCACTGTTCACAGTAACCCCACAATTCTAATGTCTGAGTGCATGTGCACCGAGTCCGGTCATGAAAACGTATCACAATGATGCCACACACAGTATTTGAATACTCGTCGTCCAAGACACTTTTTAAACAGTTTGCCTACTGATATGTCTGTAACATCTTGTTATCATCATGTTCACAAACTGATAAGACAAAATGTGCACAGTGACTCCTTCACAGGATAGTCCGCCATCATTACATGAAAGTACATATCTCACTCGTACCCTACACACGTCTTCATCATCGTCTTGACATGATATTGCGGAGTTGTTAAGGCTGAGACACCAGTGAGTGAGTGAGTGAGCTGGATACAACAAATGTGTCCATGTTGTCCTAGTGTAACCTCAGGCTTGCTGTAGAAGAGATGACATTTAGCTTGCACTGAAATATCTAATATTTACTTTTGATTAATTCCCACTGTTGAAACTACAAGTTATCGGACTGAGATCATGATATGGTAAATGTAAGCAAGGATTATATCCTACCTATATTTTATCCCGGGGGACGTTTTACTCTAGAGTACAGTATCCTACCTTAGTGCCACACTGGTATGGGTTCAAATTCACTCGGGAGAATCATCCTGACACTGGAAAATTTCATCCCCGGGATACTCTAGAGTATAGTATCCTACCTTAGTGTTACACTGGTATGGGTTCAAATTCACTCGGGAGAATAATCCTGACACTGGAGAATTTCATCCCCGGGATAAAAAACAGGGTAGGATAATATTCACTCTTACATAAACGCTCCCTTGGAGGTGATACCATCAGACTGGCAGATAGTCTGGCCGAGCTCCTTGAATATTTCAACATCAGACTGACAGAATTCCTTGACAGATGGACATTCTAGCAGATTTCTATGAATGCCTTGAACATGATGTGATTGTTTGGCAGAGATTCTAGGACTACACCAGTTGAACAGCTAGACTGGCAGATATCCTTGGCTGTTGAAACATCAGATAGACAGCCAACCTCAGAGAGGTCCTTGGACACATACATATCAGACTGACAGGCGCTTCATTTCAACAAGAGACTGAAGAAGGTCTGGCTGGCCTCCTTGAATGTTAACGTCAAACTGACGTGATGGTTTGACAGAGCTCCTTGGACGTGTCACTGAAATAATCACTGCTGTTGTCCTTCTCGCCTCGCTCACTACAAGTCACTGATGGTAGGTGGCGCTGAAAAGAATTAGTTCTCAGAAGAGGGGAGTCAATGTTTGCTGTCAGCGATATGGTCTCGCGATGAAGTGCTTGTGGAGTCCCTACACTGTTTCGTCTCAGTTTTTTCTCCGCTGCTGATAAATATGTCCGTGTGTTTCGAAGAGGAGTGAACTTGAAGCCTTGGCTTGCGTGAGTTTTGCGAAGGGGAGATAACTTCTCTTGTGAAGTTGCGGAGCGTCTATGTAGGAAGGATACTGGTGTTGAATGGGTGATGGAGTTTTGAACCGACGGCATCGCCATCTCTAGTGAGTTGGTGTCCTCCATAACGACACTTCTCATTGGTGCATCTAAACATGGAACTAGGAATTCTGGGTTATCTTCAAGATGGCTGATGAGCAGGGTGATGTCTGGTCGAGACTTAGGCTGGTATGACATACACTCATAGATGTATAAAGTCCTGGAAATAGAAAAGTTTCTTAATCAAAACAAAAACAAAAATGTCATAAACAAAATTCATAACCCTCCCACTAACAAAAATAACTTAAATAGTTTTCCTTAAAATATCTACCAATAATATCAGAGCCTCATGTGACAACTAGTGTTTCAAAATTTATAAGCCATTTGATATGAACAACGGTATTTTGTAGAAATTAGGAATAAAATCTGCAGAGAAAACTTGTAACCTGGAAATCCTCAGCAAAAGTGAACATACTTTGAGTGATATCAGGTAATACAAGATGAGTGAGGGAGTGAGTATGGTTTACGCCGCTTTTAGCATTATTCCAGCAATATCATGACGCGGGACACCAGAAATGGGCTTCACACATTGTAACCATGTAGGGAATCGAACCCGGGTCTTCGGTGTGATGAGAGAACGCTTTAACCACTAGGCTACCCCACCGCCCCTAATACAAGATGAAGTGAGATTTATTGCTGTACACCACATCAGCAATACTGCAGCAATTCACAGCAATTGATTCAAGAAGAATGCTGCTATAATAACACCATTGTATTGACAAACATTCTGTTGGTTTGTTGTTTGACAACACACTCAGCAAGATTCAAGCAATACGATGACAGAATTTAAATACATGTCATTAAGTCTCCCCCAGACAATCCACTGATTGACATCATGAACATTAGGGATATGATGACATGCATCAACCCTGTCAGCGAGCCTGACCACCTGATCCCGTTTGTCACCTCCTAACACAAGCAGGGCTTGCTGAAGACCATTTCCAACCCGGATGTTTACAGGGGTACCAAGATTCTGCCAGATCGTTGAGGTTTTATAATCTTACAAACAACAAATGCACTTTATGAAGCTTCAAACTGTAACTGCATGTTATTTGATAGAATCAAAATAATAATATTGTAGAAATTGTAAATTTTACAATAAATTGTATATTATAAAACTATCCTTGTCCTTGGAGCAAAGGCCCCGACAATCACAGCATCTTGATCATCAGGACAAGCACTGGAGTAATTATGGCTGCAATTTTTACAGGCCACTCGCTTTCATGTTCTGTTCCCATCCTTTTCTTCAATTAGTGCTGTAGATGTTATTACGAATGAGGAGGGAGCTCACGCAAAACAAATAAAAAAATAGATTCCCTAAAACTCAATACACGTCTCCACAGGGTGACGATGAAAAAGAGAATGATGTGGTAGGGGTAGTCAGGTGATCAGGTTGCGTGAGGTCACAACGCATGGGATTACAGTGCATGACAGTGCATTTGTTGGGCTGGTTACCATGGTGATGCTGGTATGTGTTCGGGCGAAATGTTTTTAGAAGCTGGAAACTTTGTTCAAGCGCGTTTTCACATAAGCATCGAAAGAAGAAGGAAGAAATGCATAGTGTGAGATAGGATAAGTTTAAAAATAATTGGTTTATATAAAACAGGGATATGGCAGTAAATACTTACAGATCTTTGGGGCATTTGTCTGGGATGGCAAGTCTGTTGCCAACCTTGACATAGTCCAGCACCTGGCTGTTGGAATATCCTTGATATGGGAAGCTGCCGAACGTGACAATCTCATACATGAGCACACCGAAACTCCACACATCCGACTTGGATGTGAAGATACCGTCTACTAAACTCTCTGGAGACATCCAGCGAACTGGAAGCATACCTGTCGACATGGAAACAACATGTAGGTGCATGCTTACTGATGACAGTTGTTGTTTACTGTGTTCTTTGTTTGTTTGTCTGTTTGTTGTTCAACATCGCACTCAGCACTATTCCAGCTATATGATATAGGCCTGTAAATAATCACGTCTGGACCAGACAATCCAGTGACTGATATCATGAGCATCGATCCATGCCGATCCTGTAAGTCGCCTCTTACAACAAGCATAGTAAACAAGTTTGTATGATTACTGCTACAGTTTGTTTGCTTGTTTATTGTACAATGCCAAACTGTATGATGGCAGCCTGTAATATTCGAGTTGCGGACAGACAATACAGTGATTAATCTTATGCACAATATCCCACAAAGTTCGGGTACAGTGACACTCATTCAGCAAAGTCCCTGGGCCAGACCACACCATTTAGTCATCTTGTACGAGTGTTGGTGACAGAACATGTTATAAATCACAGACTTATGACATACATAGCTCTTAAATCACGCAGCAGAATTTTGACATGGGTGCAGTTGTACAAAGCGATATTAGCGCTAAGGTGATCGTAACTCCCATTCCTTAACTTAGTCTTACGACAGCCATAGCGCTAAGGTGATCATAACTCCATTCCTTAACATAAACTTACGACAGCCACAGCGCTAAAGTGATCGTAACTCCAATTCCTTAACATAAACTTACGACAGCCATAGCGCTAAGGTGATCGTAACTCCTATTCCTTAACATAGACTTACGACAGCCATAGCGCTAAGGTGATCGTAACTCCCATTCCTTAACATAGACTTACAAACAGCCATAGCGCTAAGGTGATCGTAACTCCCATTCCTTAACATAGACTTACGACAGCCATAGCGCTAAGGTGATCGTAACTCCCATTCCTTAACATAGACTTACGACAGCCATAGCGCTAAGGTGATCGTAACTCCCATTCCTTAACATAGACTTCGACAGCCATAGCGCTAAGGTGATCGTAACTCCCATTCCTTAACATAGACTTACGACAGCCATAGTGCTAAGGTGATCGTAACTCCCATTCCTTAACATAGACTTCGACAGCCATAGCGCTAAGGTGATCGTAACTCCCATTCCTTAACATAGACTTACAAACAGCCATAGCGCTAAGGTGATCGTAACTCCCATTCCTTAACATAAACTTATGACAGCCACAGCGCTAAAGTGATCGTAACTCCAATTCCTTAACATAAACTTACGACAGCCATAGCGCTAAGGTGATCGTAACTCCTATTCCTTAACATAGACTAACGACAGCCATAGCGCTAAGGTGATCGTAACTCCCATTCCTTAACATAAACTTATGACAGCCACAGCGCTAAGGTGATCGTAACTCCCATTCCTTAACATAGACTTACAAACAGCCATAGCGCTAAGGTGATCGTAACTCCTATTCCTTAACATAGACTTACGACAGCCATAGCGCTAAGGTGATCGTAACTCCCATTCCTTAACATAGACTAACGACAGCCATAGCGCTAAGGTGATCGTAACTCCCATTCCTTAACATAGAATTACGACAGCCATAGCGCTAAGGTGATCGTAACTCCCATTCCTTAACATAGACTTACGACAGCCATAGCGCTAAGGTGATCGTAACTCCCATTCCTTAACATAGACTAACGACAGCCATAGCGCTAAGGTGATCGTAACTCCAATTCCTTAACATAGACTTACGACAGCCATAGCGCTAAGGTGATCGTGACTCCCATTACTTAACATAGACTTACGACAGCCATAGCGCTAAGGTTGTTTTGTACAGTGGCACCATGGACACTCAATATGTTAATATCCGCAATTATAACAAGCTGTTGTTACTCAATCCTTAATCACTATACACATACACTTTCTGCAAACATATGGTTATCCTTGATTATCAATGATAGAAAATAACATTTTTAGTCCACTAGTCTTATAATGATAACATATAGCCAAACCCTTAAAACTGGCAAATGTCCTTTTGGTACTCTAACTATTGGCAATGTTGGCAAAGACTATAGGACCAGTACCAATTTCTGTCACTTATTATCATGTGTGATATCTCCAGTGTATTATGATAAATACACTGTACACAGTCACCACCATAGCTTTATCATGGACTTCCCCATCTCCATCTCGTACAACTAGCATAGCACAGCATTTCTCTTGCTCGTGGGTGCATTTGATTGACATTATGCATTCGGGGCACCAAACAAAGATATGGTGGTAATAGGCACCAAACAAAGATATGGTGGCAATATGCACCAAACAAAGATATGGTGGTAATATGCACCAAACAAAGATATGGTGGCAATATGCACCAAACAAAGATATGGTGGCAATATGCACCAAACAAAGATATGGTGGCAATATGCACCAAACAAAGATATGATGGCAATGGGCACCAAACAAAGATATGGTGGTAATTCACAAACATAAAGAAGCTATTCAAATGTTACCTTTTCGAGTAAAGCGGTAATAGTCTGAATCAAATGTGTGCCTTGTCATTCCGAAATCTGAGATTTTCACGGTCTTGTTGACATGAACTAAACAGTTCCTGCAGGCAAGATCCCTGCAACACAAGAGGAAGACATGAGTTAAGGGCTAGAACATGACCTGAAGACACTGTCAAAGGCAAGAATATGTGCTGCAGAAATTGTCAAGGGTCAGAACATGTGCTGCAGAAATTGTCCAGGGTCAGAACATGTGCTGCAGAAATTGTCCAGGGTAGGAAAATGTGCTGCAGAAATTGTCCAGGGTCAGAACATGTGCTGCAGAAACTGTCAAGGGTAGGAAAATGTGCTACAGAAACTGTCAGGGGCTAGGATATGTGCTGCAGAAACTGTCAAGGGTCGGAACATGTGCTGCAGAAACTGTCAAGGGTCAGAACATGTGCTGCAGAAACTGTCAAGGGTCAAAACATGTGCTGCAGAAACAGTCAGGGGACAAACTTGATATCTGCCCACCTGTAGACATACTTGATATCTGCCCACCTGTGGACATACTTGATATCTGCCCACCTGTGGACATACTTGATATCTGCCCACCTGTAGACATACTTGATATCTGCCCACCTGTAGACATACTTGATATCTGCCCACCTGTAGACATACTTGATATCTGCCCACCTGTGGACATACTTGATATCTGCCCACCTGTAGACATACTTGATATCTACCCACCTGTAGACATACTTGATATCTGCCCACCTGTAGACATACTTGATATCTGCCTACCTGTGGACATACTTGAGATCATGGAGATACTGAAGACCACTGGCTACGTCTCTCGCCATTCTGGTGAGAGTGGGGGGACTGACATCTTCCCCTTCAGGTGTATTCTGACCCACCAGGTTTCGGCGAGACAACAGGTATGTCTTCAGGTCACCTGCAGCGACAACAAGGTCTTGTGTACAGCCACCTGGTCATATTTGCCGTTATAGCTTCGTTCTGATCAATATTAAAAAAAAATCAACACAAGCATAAAATACTCATATCCCCTGCCAATATGGCATGTCTGGTTGTGTGCAAGGTAAGAAATACTGTAATTTTTAACGGAAACAAGCACTACCTCCATTTTCAATCTAAGACAAAGTTGTTACCATAGAAACTCAAAAATTACATTTTTTTAAAATCCCAAACTATCAAAAGGCACCAGTTCTATGTGCCAAGTTTGGTTAAGAAATGTCTAGTGGTTTTTGAGTTCTGCTCCGGAAACGAAATGTGACGGACGGAAGGATGGATGGACAGATGGATTGCAAGGACAGACAGAACCCATTCCTATACATTGTTGTTGAATACAATATTTCATATCATTGTAAATGACAAATAGTAAGATATCTTGGTGATTCCCAACTTCATTTGAACCATCTGACTCCAAATAAGCCATGCTAAGTTGTCTCCTCGAGCCAACATGGATATTTTTTGTGTGTGTTGTTCAAAGCAGCATTCAGCAATATTCCAGCTACATGATAGCGGCCTGTAAATAATAGAATCTGGACCAGACAACCAGTGATCAATATTGTGAGCAATGAGCCACGCTGTCGAGGTACAATGAAACGCTATCAACCAAATAACTGAGCCTGACGACCTGATCCATTTGGTCACCATGACAGCAAAGGCTGCTGGGACAAATTCTAACCAGAATCCCGACCCGGAAGCTAACAGGTCGTCTGCATCGTCGGAATAGCATGACCCACCATGCAGCAGGTACTCCATGACGGCGTACATCGGCTCGCCACGGGTACACACAGCCAGAAGTTCCACGATGTTGGGGTGGGTGAACCTCTTCATCACATCAGCCTCGCTGAAGAAATCAAGCTGGAAAAAACATCATTCATTTTGGTAATCTTAGCACAAACACCAAAGGGTTAGTGAATCAGAATTTTGCACTTTTAGTGTAGAAATCATGTATAGCCTTTTGCCTGTACAGGGGTTTCAAAAGCGAGGGTGAGGTGAAATTGGGTTTAACGTCGTGTCCAAGATTATTGCGCTTATATAGCGATGTGCATGCATGTGTGTGTGTGTGTGTGGCTGCTTGTACTAGTCCGGATTTATAGTGCTAGCACACGGAGATATCATGCCGCAGTTTAACATGAATACCCCACTCAGACACTGTATACTGACTCCGAGCCGACCAGTCCTTGTTTTAGCCCTTTAATGCCGAGCGCCAGACAGGGTAACAACAAGTACCATCTTTTAACGTCTTTTGGTATGACGCAGCCGGGCATCGAACCCCGGACGTTCCGCTCTCCTGGCGGACACTCTACCACTAGACCACGGAGGCGGTCCAAAAGCGAGGGGAAAAAAGAAGATTTTGGTTTTTATGTTCTTTGATAACTAGCAAACACAGGAAAGATGTCAGACTTTCCCACCTCACTCATGTGCATGAAATGTGGGTAGCACCATACTATTACTTGCACAACTCATTATAGATAGTTAACAGTGAAGAGGATGTCTGTTGACAATCTGAACATTTTTTCGTGTGATGACAGCTTAAATTTCTGCCAGATGTTTGTATTCGTAAGAATTAAATGGATTAAGTTTTTTATGTTGAACTAATCATATACAGTTCTGTTATGAAAGAGCAGGTATAGCTCTGGTGAGTGATTGAGTCTTGTTTTACACCAATTTAAAAATATTCCAGCAATATCATGGCAAGGGACACCAGAAATGGGCTTCACACATTGTACCCATGTGGGGAATCGAACACAGGTCTACGGCGTGACAAGCGAACACTTTAACCATTAGGCTACCCCACCGCCCCTTGTATAGCTCTGAAAAGGTTTGACAAAAAAAAAGACTTCCCGACTTCCTGAATGAATACCCTTTCATCTTAAGCACTTAGTTTATGTCCATTGAACAAAAACAGAAAAATTTAAACAAATTGCACTCACCTTTTGTTCAACCATAGCTCCAACTTTCAAAGTTTTGACGGCCACAGACACCCACTGCGTTCCTTCAATGATGGCTTCACCTCCATAAACCGTCCCAAAAGCACCCTCACCAAGCTTACGATTGAGGACTACGTTTTCTTTGGGAATCTCCCAGTCATCAAGTGAGAGACAGTGTGAGTAGTCCTGTGAAAGTAGTCCAAGCTCCTTCATACGCTCATGTGTTGCACGCACCTTCGCATCGTATCTGGAAACACGCAGGTACCAGCATAGTGAGTACTATCCTGTTACAGGCATAATGGATGCTGATCTCAATGATATTAAACTAATTTTGTTGTTGTGTGTTTCTTTGTTGTTTAACACTCAGCTATATTCCAGCTATAGTCGAGTCTGGACCAGACAATCCAGTGATTTACATCATGAACATCGATCCACACAATTGGGATAGGATGACATACATCAAACAAAGCAGCAAGCCTGACCACCCGATCCCGTTAGTCGCCTCTTAGGACAAGCATAGTCACCTCTTATGGCAAGCATGGGTTGCTGAAGACCTATTGCACCCAGCATCTTCACGGGTCCGATATTAAACTAAAGCTGATGTACACTCAATTATCATGATTATGGTGTAAAGCAAGGTTCATGAACAATAATGATCGATGTCAATATAAAATAACAATTGGGACACACAGGCTTCATACATTGTACCCATGTGGGGAATCAAACCAATGCCTCGACATAACTATGTTTTTGTTTGTTGTTTAATACCACACTCAGCAATATTCAAGCTATATGATGGCGGTCTGTAAATTATCAAGTCTGGACCAGACAATCCAGTGATTGACATCATGAGCATCAATCTATGCAGTTGGGATATGATGACATGCATCAACCAAATAAGCGAGCCTGACCACCAGATCCCGTTAGTCGCCTCTTACGACAAGCATAGTCGCCTTTTACGGCAAGCATATGGGTTTTGAGGACTCGCAGTATGTACCCACCTGCACTTGATGATGACGAGGCTGATGATGGTGATGATGATGAACCCCACAAAGCCCATGACGTTGGCGATGATGATTGCCATCTCACACGACGTCACACCTAGGACAGCCCGAAACCGCTCGATTGCACAATCTTCAGAAGGAACTGAAATAATCATGAATTTTTTATTGCCTTTGCCAGTGATTGAAATACGTTTTTTTTTGTTGATTCATAGTCACCTGTGAAAATTCGAGTCTGGATCACACAATCCAGTGATTGATATAGTGACCCACGATCTATGCCCGCAGGGCACAATGACCTGCATCACCTGACTACCAGATTCAGTTGGACATTTGCTACGACCAGCATGGGTTTCTGGGACCAATCATAACCTGTAAACCCCACGGATGATTGAGATAATGTTTCGGTGCAGTTGGTTTCTATGCCACTTTCAGCAATATCTTCCCTGGGGAACACCAGAAGTCGTCGTCACACATGGTACCAATGCAGTTAGTCAAACCCGGGTTGACAAGCCGACACCACAACCACTTGGCTACCCTATGGCTTCTGATCTCATTACATGAATTATTAGTTGGGGGCAACCAATACACAGAGATGACGTGAAGGGGTTTCAACAAAACAGTCATTGGCCCCATAGATTGTGTGTGAGAAACAGCATGTTCCCAAGGGTTACTGTTACATATTCCTTCTATAAAAAATGCTGGAGAAAGATTGTAAAAAATTCAGGCAAATTGATGAAACAGATTTATTTTTATACATTCAAATAATGACTTCAACAATAAAATAATATCTGTCACCATGTTTACAGTTTCTGACAATAATGAGCCAAATTACATATCTACCAACAGATATATATATGTATTGTTATATGGCAGTGTAATTTATTGTTAAACAATGAGTGAGTGAGTATGGCTTTACGCCGCTTTTAGCAATATTCCAGCAATATCACGGTTGGGGACACCAGAAATGGGCTTCACATATTGTACCCATGTCGGGAATGGAACCCGGGTCTTCGGCGTGACGGGCGAACGCTTTAACCAAAAGGCTACCCGACCGCCCCAGAAACAATGATTGTGACTGTATTACATTGTTTCTGTAGAGATTCAGTGACGGGGAGGTACTTCTCAGCTTTCGATTAGGCATTTAAACTCTTTATCCATGTTATATCTTGAACTATGTTCTATAATACTATTAAATGTTTGATGATACATATTAACTGCAACCTTCTTATACAGTCTAAGAAAAGCAAATTAATTTCCAACACACTGAGCAATCCATACAAATCCAAATCTATGTGAAAAGGAGATGCATAGTGAGTGAGTGAGTGAGAGTATGATTTTACGCCGCTTTTAGCAATATTCCAGCAATATCACGGCGGGGGACACCAGAAATGGGCTTCACACATTGTACCCATGTCGGGAATCAAACCCGGGTCTTCGGCATGACGAGCGAACGCTATAACCACTAGGCTACCCAACCACCCCGGAGATGCATAGGTTTGGTATCGACAATTATCATAGTACATAAGAATATTATAGACTTTCTTAGGAATTCTATCATTGTGTATTTCTGCAAGGTCAAGCCATTATTTTATACAATGACAGAGAGCATTTATATACCGTATTTGACTTAATAAGTGCCCAGGGCGCTCTCAAAATTAGAAATAGGTTTGCTCTTATTAGAATATAATTTTGGTGAGAGAAAAAACAGAGTTGTAAAATCATAATTTTCTACCTGAAATGATAACGAAAAGTCTGTGTTTATTATACACGACAGATATATTTTTCCAGAATTTAATTGCTCATAACTAAGGGTGCATATAACACACGAGTACGTATCATACACGAATAATTAAGTCTTGTGTACATTGATCAATCGGAAGAGGTGCTAATTGGGATTGTTCACTAGCCAATATATTAGCAAAATCACTGTGGGCGCTTATTAGACATTTAGTGCTTGGGGACCAACATTGACAAACTTCTTGCAAGCAATTAAATAAACAGTTTCAATCTTTCCACATGAAAGAGCAGAACTGCAGCCACTGACCTGTGTGTCCATCACTCGGCTGGTGACCGTCCCTGGTCAGCCATCTTATCTTGTTCTTGTAAATGTCCAGCAAGCCACCGTCTTCCAACACGTGGGGATTATAATGGCCAACCACCTTGGTCCCATTGTTGAAAAACTGCAGCAGAGTCACGTTACCCAGACGATCACTTCCATTAAACTTGATAAGCCCCGACACTCCTTGGAAGCTAGTTTCATTAAGAGCTTCCATTAGCTTCCTGTAATGATAAGATAATACAGGTTAGGAAAAGTGCACCTGGCCAAAACGACTCTGTTTTGGAAAAGTACATGTGGCCAAATGACTCTGTTTTGATACTTGTACAAAACAGTTGGTACAAATTCCTGCAGTTGACATGATGACTTACCATGCTTACTGGTCTAATCTACAATCTCATTAAAATCAGATCTTAGTTTTCGCTACCGCTAAACAAAGATCTGAGGACATCCCATTAGGGGTCACGTCAGAACGACCAACCAGTGAAATGACTGACAAGAAATCGACATTAGCCAATCAGAAGGCAGCTTTCTCGAGCTTTACGACACGAGTTTCAAACTGGCGACTACGCTTCGAAAGATATTTTGACATATTCTTGATTAAAAAAATTAAAACTGATAAGAAGAACATTCTGGAATGACTTTTGGATGGCCTAGATTGTATGGATATAATCATAAAACCCATAACTGTCGTTCGGAATACCCTCTGTTAAATATTTCGAGGTTGCATGATTAGAAAACACATTCCGACTGTCACTTTCATGATCTGGTAAGCGACGCTCTGATTGGTTGAATGAAAGGTCGTTCTGACGTGACCCTTAATGGGATGTCCTCAGATCTTTGTTTAGCAGTAGCGAGAACTAAGATCTGATTTTAATGAGATTGGTCTAATCTACTGACTTGGTCCTGCAGATGTTCAGAAGCTCACCTTCAGTGATATAAAACTTAGACGGGCAGGATGTGATAAACCAGCTACCATACAACCACACCTGGTTATTACCCATTGAGAAATTTGATCATTTTGTGAGAGTTGTTGAATATTTTAAGACCATGATAGAGAGACTGCAAGGTCTGGCTGTGGCAATAACTAATCAAGTTCACGTTTATGTAATGATTAGAAGTGCACACACGTCATTTTTACTCCAGCGTTAGAAACTGGCACAAGTCCTGTAGTCCTTGCTAAACTGCCCATTAGTTGGAAAGACTTCCTCCTGTATCCCCCTTCCAAAAGTTATGCATGTATGCACTGTTGCTCAATCCCTAAATCATATATATATTTTTAGGGGGGATACATGCAGAAGACTTACCCAATTATTATCATAAGGACCAGTCAGCAGTAGAAACTAACATTTTTAATCCACTAGTCCTTATCATGATAACATAAAGCAAGCCCCTCAAAGTGGGCAAATTTCTACTAGTCCTTATGATACCTTAACTGTTGGGCAGTTTGGCAAGGACTACAGGACTAGTGCCAATTTCTATCGCTGCCAGTAGAAATTTGCCATTTTTAAGGGTTTTGCATTATGTTATCATTACAAGTCCTAGTGGACCAAGAATGTTAGTTTCTACCACTGACTCATGTTTCTGTTTCTTGTTCTTCAATTCAACACAATACTACTTAGAATACAAATTATCAATACATGTTGAATGGTATATGCAACCAAAGGAGAAGTGATTCCAGTTTTTTATGAATAAGTGAGTCAGTTGGACTTAACGCCGCTTTTAACAGTATTCCAGTTACATCACGGCGTGTCAGCTTAATGTGGGAGGAAAGCTCAAAGTGATGCAGGTCTCAGACATTTACCACTTCGGTGAAACCCACGAGCACGGGTATGGTGCTGACAAACCTAGAACAAAATCGGGGCGAACCGGGATTCGAACCCACAATCATAGGTTTCTGGCGTGCCCAAGGAACGCAACTCTGCACAGCGAATCGCGGCGCCTTAGACGACTGGGCCACCCGTGCCCCCTTTTTTTATGAATAAAGAAGGGCGAGCTTAAACTACTCATCTTTTGACATGGATAGTCATATCTTTCCATGGTTCACAAAAGTAATTCTTAAAATAAATCAAGTGCATATTTAGCGTGAATGAGATACCTGGTTTTCCCTATCAAAAGTTGAATAGTGTTTATTGATTGCAGCCCTCAATCATTCCAAAATATTTTATGCAACTCAAAAGAAGTAAAGGAAAACCCAATTATTTCATATTACTAAAGTTTCATCTATCATGGCATGACAGATTAACTATAGTAATATGAAATATAACATAACTGAGTAACTACATTCAGAAGTTCTATTAATTGAAGCAATACATGTACATGTACAATGGTTCTTAACACAGGACTCTCACAGGTACAAATTATCACAAGCTTGGCTTTATATACAAATAGATGTTATTGGCGCAGACAAAAAATCGACTCCACATATCTGTAGTAACTTACAGTGTAGTGGCCTTCTCGTGCAGAGTGCTGATGGCGCTGGGCTGGCTTCGAAAGAGACGGTCCAGCCCATGGGCAAACACCCACACTGCATCATACACAAAGCTGGCAAATGGGGTCTCCTCCACGTCCTGCAACAAAGGAGCATTCCGGCCTGTAGTCTGTCCAGTTCTGACAGACAAACCAATGGCAGTCTGCTACGATCTGTTCTAATGTCTGACAAGTGGTGGACACTCACTAGAGGGCTCTTAAATCAATGGGGGTTGTCACAGACACTAACACCCATAAAGGTTATAATGCTTGTCACATTTGGGCATTAAATAAGAGCAAATTATTATATGTAAAGTACTGTTATCCTACAACACCACGATTTCCCACAGCACCACGTTACCCTACACCACCACGTTACCCTACAGCACCACATTACCCTACAACAACCACATCACAGCACCACATTACCCCACACCACGTTACCCCACCCCGCCACATAACCCTAGAGCACCACGTTACCTTACAACACCACATCACAGCACCACATTACCCCACACCACGTTACCCCACCCCACCACATAACTCTAGAGAACCACGTTACCCTACAACACCACATCACAGCACCACATTACCCCACACCACGTTACCCCATCCCGCCACATAACCCTAGAGCACCACATTACCCTACAACACCACATCACAGCACCACATTACCCCACAGCACTACGTTACCCCACAACACCACATTACCCTCCAACACTACGTTACCCTACAGCACCACATTACCCTACAACGCTACGCTACCCCACAACACCACATAACCCCACAACACCACATAACCCTACCGCACCACGTTAACCTACAACACCACATTACCCTACAGCACCATGTTACCCACAACACCACATTACCCTCCAACACTACGTTACCCCACAACACCACATTACCCTACAGCACCACGTTAACCTACAACACCACATTACCCTACAGCACCACGTTACCCCACAACACCACATTACCCTACACCACAACACCACATTACCCTACAGCACCACGTTAACCTACAACACCACATTACCCTACAGCACCACGTTACCCCACAACACCACATTACCCTACACCACAATACCCCATTACCCCACAGCACCATGTTACCCACAACACCACATTACCCTACAGCACCAAGTTAACCTACAACACCACACTACCCCACAACACCACATAACCCCACACCACATTACCCTACAGCACCACGTTAACCTACAACACCACATTACCCTACAGCACCATGTTACCCACAACACCACATTACCCTCCAACACTACGTTACCCCACAACACCACATTACCCTACAGCACCACATTAACCTACAACACCACATTACCCTACAGCACCACGTTACCCCACAACACCACATTACCCTACACCACAATACCCCACTACCCTACAGCACCACGTTAACCTACAACACCACATTACCCTACAGCACCACGTTACCCCACAACACCACATTACCCTACACCACAATACCCCACAACACCACATTACCCCACAGCACCATGTTACCCACAACACCACATTACCCTACAGCACCACGTTAACCTACAACACCACATTACCCTACAGCACCACATAACCCTACAACACCACGTAACCCTACACCACCACATTACCCCACAACACCACATAACCCTACAACACCACATAACCCTACAACACCACATAACCCTACAACACCACGTAACCCTACACCACCACATTACCCTACAACACTACGCTACCCCACAACACCACATAACCCTACAACACCACGTAACCCTACAGCACCACGTTACCCTACACCACATTACCCCACAACACCACATAACCCTACAACACCACATAACCCTACAACACCACGTAACCCTACACCACATTACCCTACAACACCGCAATACCCCACAACACCACATAACCCCACAACACCACATTACCCTACAGCACCACGTAACCCTACACCACATTACCCTCCAACACCACGTAACCCTACACCACATAACCCCACAACACCACATTACCCTACAGCACCACGTAACCCTACACCACATTACCCTACAACACCACATTACCCTACACCACATTACCCCACAACACCACGTAACCCTACACCACCACATTACCCCACAACACCACATTACCCTACAGCACCACGTAACCCTACACCACATTACCCCACAACACCACATAACCCTACAACACCACATAACCCTACAACACCACGTAACCCTACACCACCACATAACCCTACAACACCACGTTACCCTACACCACATTACCCCACAACACCACATAACCCTACAACACCACGTAACCCTACAGCACCACGTAACCCTACACCACATTACTTACAGCCTTATCCACCCGGTTCTGGTACATCTCCCGGTATTGACGGACTGTGATTCCTCCGGCCACCTTGCTTTCTTTCATATCATCAGACTCAGGGTAGGCCTTGGACAGGATGAAGTGACCCTCTATGGCCGTCTCCATCTGTTTGCGATTACAGGGGACGTTCTCTTGCTGGTCAGGCTCGTTGTGATTGGGTTCACCGTTGTAGTAGTCCACGTCCCACCACAGGGCGGGGTACCAAGCCGGCAGGAACCACACATAACCCTCGTAGGCTGTCATTTTCTGAAACACACCAGTCATCATCACCAAATTACCACAATCCAGTACGTATCATGATACTTGCATGTGCTCTTATCTGTGGTGCATAAGCCGTCTTTTTCAAAGACAGGATGGCCAAATACCTGGCACACTAACAATTCACAGTTGGCAGTGTCAAGTATGATGCAATGTATGAAAATATTTACGTTTACACGACTCATTTCCACAATTAATTAGTATTTGGTGTCACATTTATCAAAGTATACATTTAAGGTAAAAATCAAAACTTTTTACTAAGCGTGTGATTGTGATCGATAATTGTATCGAAAAGTAAAATACTGCGATCCACTGATGCATCATTGTATTGTCCCACTACTCACAAAAACATAAACTATTCATTAAGGTACCGTAATCAAAGTCAAGAGACTTGGTCTCATGGACCACACTACTGACAAGCTATTTGGTGAGTCCTCCATACCTGTCGGTACGCCTCGCACATGACGGCCCGTGCTGCAGAGTCGTAGAAGTCGGCTATGATGATCCTCACATTGTGTTCACGCAGCTCAGCAAATATCTGAAACAAAGGAGACAGTTCTTTTCACTCCCAGATGGCAGTACCTGGTACATGTATGTAAAATGATGATTCACATATTATCCTTCACCATCCTCATAGAAGAATACAAGAATAAGCAATAAGACCAAAAAGTTGCCCTTGGTAAATTTTCACATCCTTAAGTCCTATAAACCTATACCTTTCTTGAATATGCAATGACATTAAGGAAGTGGTAAAAATTCTAGAACTATTTTGGGTCAAGTGAGTGAGTTGGGTTTTACGCCGCTTTTAACATTATTCCAGTTATATCACGGCGTGTCAGCTTAATGTGGGAGGAGAGCCCGGTGTGATGCAGGTCTTGGACGTTTACCACTTCGGTGAAACCCACGAGCACGGGTATGGTGCTGACAAACCTAGAAACATAATTGGTATTTGGGGTCGAATGCCATCCGGGATCGAATGCCATCCGGGATTCGAACCCACATTCTCAGAGTGAGGCAACTCATCGCCAACACACAAAGGTGGAAGCCTCGGTGGCTGAGTGGGTTAGATTGCTGACTTTGTGTGCTGGCGATGAGGTGCTACCTCAATCTGAGAGTGTGGGTTCGAATCCCGGATGGGAATCTTGGATGGGATTTGACCCCCAAAAGTACTAGAATTTGTACTTTACTAAGGAAGTGTTAGCCGAAATATAACATTTGTTACCAATCCCATACTTCCCCCCTAGATGACAGCAGTCAGCTGCAACCGTGACACCTCCAACCTCTACTCCCTCCACAACACAAACTCCCATTGCCCATCTTTGTGTCAGTCATTGAACATTGTATTCCACATCCCAGTCCATACCACAGTGCATTGTTCACTCAAATCCCTGGGACCAACCACTATAACAGTGACTTGGATGGACGTGACTTTGAAAAGTAGATACATCCCTGCATTTCAGCTTGATTTGGGACAAAAGCCCGAAGAGATACAAGTCTCAGACGTTTACCAAGTTTGTGAAACCAATGCGCAAATCTGAGATTCGAACTCATAACCAGAGGTTTCTGTCACACCTTATCAACACAAATGTACACAGCAAACTGCAGTCCCTGAGATGACAGTTTGTTTGTTTGTTGTTTAACGCCGCACTCAGCAATATTCCACCTATATGACGGCTCCCTTAGATGACAGGCCCACCCAATATAACAATAATTGCACTTAACATCGGGTGCCTTGGGTTTCACATACAAATGATAAACGTTTACCGAACATTCTTTATGTTCAGCTCAGATCCTCCTTGAAGCATTTCCCGGAGAACAATATACCTAACTTTTGTCTGCCTTGTTGCAAGGACGAGGATGACTGACCTGTGAGACGTCGATGTGGTTGCCGCCCCGGACAATCTGGCGCTTGACGATGACGGAGATGCCCTGCTTCTGAAGGTATGACTGGAGCTGTATGTGGTAGTCCGGCAACTCCTGGCCGCCCTCAGCCAGTGCACCTACGTTCTCCCAGCCCATTTCTTTGAATAGCTTCCCGTACAGAAACCTGAAACACCAGACATTGACTTATTATATCATACATTTACATACTGCACATTTCCAGACATCTCTGTTCTAATGCAGTCAGTAGTTCCCCAATCAGTGGATCCAAATGCATTTATCATTCTCATTTCCATGGGGAGTATACAACCAATGCTGCCTACAGGAGCTAGAAGGTTTTTTACTGCATCATCATCATCATCATCATCACCAATAAAGCTGTCTCACATCATCATCATCACCAATAAAGCTGTCTCACATCATCATCATCACCAATAAAGCTGTCTCACATCATCATCATCACCAATAAAGCTGTCTCACATCATCATCATCACCAATAAAGCTGTCTCACATCATCATCATCATCAATAAAGCTGTCTCACATCATCATCATCACCAATAAAGCTGTCTCACATCATCATCATCATCAATAAAGCTGTCTCACATCATCATCATCACCAATAAAGCTGTCTCACATCATCATCATCACCAATAAAGCTGTCTCACATCATCATCATCACCAATAAAGCTGTCTCACATCATCATCATCACCAATAAAGCTGTCTCACATCATCATCATCATCAATAAAGCTGTCTCACATCATCATCATCACCAATAAAGCTGTCTCACATCATCATCATCATCAATAAAGCTGTCTCACATCATCATCATCACCAATAAAGCTGTCTCACATCATCATCATCACCAATAAAGCTGTCTCACATCATCATCATCACCAATAAAGCTGTCTCACATCATCATCATCACCAATAAAGCTGTCTCACATCATCATCATCATCAATAAAGCTGTCTCACATCATCATCATCACCAATAAAGCTGTCTCACATCATCATCATCACCAATAAAGCTGTCTCACATCATCATCATCAATAAAGCTGTCTCACATCATCATCATCATCAATAAAGCTGTCTCACATCATCATCATCACCAATAAAGCTGTCTCACATTATCATCATCATCAATAAAGCTGTCTCACATCATCATCATCAATAAAGCTGTCTCACATCATCATCATCACCAATAAAGCTGTCTCACATCATCATCATCAATAAAGCTGTCTCACATCATCATCATCACCAATAAAGCTGTCTCACATCATCATCATCAATAAAGCTGTCTCACATCATCATCATCACCAATAAAGCTGTCTCACATCATCATCATCACCAATAAAGCTGTCTCACATCATCATCATCATCATCATCATCATCAATAAAGCTGTCTCACATCATCATCAATAAAGCTGTCTCACATCATCATCATCAATAAAGCTGTCTCACATCATCATCATCATCATCAATAAAGCTGTCTCACATCATCCCCATCATAACAACCATCTCACATCATCATCATCATCATCATCATCATCATCATCCCCACTGCTGTATGACAGCAGACAGTGCCGTATCTAGTAAATACTTTAAGAGATTATTTGAAATGATCTTTCTACTAGGCGATAAGTTTATTCTGAAGTCTCAGTCCATAGGCCCATAGGATATGACAGTTGGCTCTGTGTGACTTCAATCTGTACTCACCTGTGATAGTTGATCTGTGGGATGGTGCGGAAGAAGTATGGATATTTGGCCCTGTCTGTGAGAGAGGCAGCCTCCGCACCATAGCTCACCAGCACCATGTTGAAGTGTTTGGAGAGAGCGGCGATGGGCACCGCTGTGTCAGAACACCCTGGACCTAATATTCCCGCCATGGGCGAAGTTGGTGTTTTCTCGGTGATGAATTTGATGAAAGCCCTCATGGCCTCGTCTGCAATACACTGGGTGTCACTCACAAGCATCTCCAGATGGTGTTCCGGTAAAATTCGGGGGTCCTTATTCACCATTTCAATAGCTAACCGGCCCCCTGAAACAGATTGATTCAATGTTCAATAACAATGTAAGGATTTGCCAGTTTCCATCAAATCACAATTAGTCAATGTATAGACAATTCAACACTGGGTCTCACTGCTAATTTATTTCAGTAGTTTCTGTGAAGTTATTTGAGATTCAGTTCAATCCCAGGATTAAGTTTCACATGGAACAACATCTCTAGAAAAACTGTTTCCGTTAGAAAAAATATTACATTGTCAAGCTCTTTGATAACTCCAATGTCTGAATTGTCTCCCTTTGCAAAGTCTACCATGCTGTATTCCAGCCTGTAGGTTACTGTGGGATTAGGTTCTATGCTGCTTTTAGCTTAACTTCAGTAACGTCAAGACATTGGACTCCTGGACGAGTCACCACACACTGCATCTTGGTCTTCAGTTTGATGAATGCATGCACTAAAACCATCTGTTACCATTTGTCAGAACTTCACATTTTCAGACTTTCTGTTAAAATCCTATACTGAACAGTACTGTTCACATATCTCATACCTATCCCTACAGTACTGTTCATATATCACCTACCTATCCCTACAGTACTGTTCATATATCACATACCTATCCCTACAGTACTGTTCATATATCACATACCTATCCCTACAGTACTGTTCACATATCACATACCTATCCCTACAGTACTGTTCATATATCACATACCTATCCCTACAGTACTGTTCATATATCACCTACCTATCCCTACAGTACTGTTCATATATCACATACCTATCCCTACAGTACTGTTCATATATCACCTACCTATCCCTACAGTACTGTTCATATATCACCTACCTATCCCTACAGTACTGTTCATATATCACCTACCTATCCCTACAGTACTGTTCATATATCACCTACCTATCCCTACAGTACTGTTCATATATCACCTACCTATCCCTACAGTACTGTTCATATATCACCTACCTATCCCTACAGTACTGTTCATATATTACCTACCTATCCCTACAGTACTGTTCATATATCACCTACCTATCCCTACAGTACTCTTCAAATATCACATACCTATCCCTACAGTATTGTTCATATATCAACTACCTATCCCTACAGTACTCTTCAAATATCACATACCTATCCCTACAGTATTGTTCATAAATCACTTACCCATCCCTACAGTACTGTTCATATATCACCTACCTATCCCTACAGTACTGTTCATATATCACTTACCCAACCCTACAGTACTCTTCAAATATCACCTCCGTTTCCCTACAGTATTGTTCATAAATCACTTACCCATCCCTACAGTACTGTTCATATATCACCTACCTATCCCTACAGTACTGTTCATATATCACCTACCTATCCCTACAGTACTGTTCATATATCACCTACCTATCCCTACAGTATTGTTCATATATCACCTACCTATCCCTCCAGTACTGTTCATTTATCACCTACCTATCCCTACAGTACTCTTCAAATATCACATACCTATCCCTACAGTATTGTTCATAAATCACTTACCCATCCCTACAGTACTGTTCATATATCACCTACCTATCCCTACAGAACTGTTCATAAATCACCAACCCATCCCACAGTACAGTCCATGACCAACGTACCTTCCACTAGACCGGGGGCCGTCCAAACCTCTCCAGATATGGGAAACAACCCCCCGAGGTAGATTTTGGTCTTGTTGGACAAGTCCTTTGGCATCCATGTCTTCCAGGTGGCATTGTGATGGTTAATCCACTTACATGCAATATCATCTGCTGTCGCAGTCACGTTTTGGTTATGTAATTCTAAGATGTGATCATAATCGTCTTGTGAAAACGTCATTTTCGATATGAGATCATAAGCCTTAGGAGCATTACTTTTGATTTTATGCCATACAACTTTATTAAGTTGATTTACATTGAAATCACAATCATACGGTAAATTGAAAGCATCGTGTTTACAGAGAGGTAATTTAATTCGTGTAAAATTATTACAAGCCAAGATGACGCTTGGGTGCCAGCTGAATAGCAACAGCGGGGCCTTATTCTCGGACTGTTCCTTAACAAAATTATTCAGATTTCCTTCTAACCATACTATATCCACTAGTAAGTCGAGTCTCTTAACTTGCTCTTTAATAACCTCGGCAGACAAATCTGAAAAACAAAATAAACATATCATGCTCAAGGCATCAATTATTCATATTGGACAAAACAATAAATGGGTTGATGGAATGAACCAAATTTAATTGCAACAACATGAACAAAACTACCTCGTTTTGTTTGTTTGTTGTTGAACGCCGCACTCAGCAATATTCCAGCTATATGATGGCGGTCTGTAAATAATGGGGTCTGGATCAGACAATCCACTGATTGATATCATGAGCATCAATCCACGCAATTGGGATATGATAACATACATCAACTAAGTCACCAAGTCTGACAACCCGATCCCGTTAGCCGCCTCTTACGAAATGCATAGTCACCTTTGACGGCACATATGGGTTGCTGAGACCTATTCCACCCCAGATCTTCATAGGTTAAAAAATTTGTGAATAATGGATGTCATGGATTAGGAATCTCAGATGAAATTATTGTATGTGTCTTAACAACAGTCAGCAATATTGCAGGTATTTCACCAGGGCCTCTAACGAATCAAGTCAGGACAAATCAGGAGTTGATATGAGCAACTTCTTACATGATGTGACACCTAATCAACCAAATCACCATGCCTGATCATCCAATCCACTTTGTCAAATTATACAACTTTGCTGACCTGTAACTGAAGTAAGATCAGTATTTATAATCGTCAAACAGGCAGAAATATTTCTGAAAAAATGTTTTCTTCTGTAGCAATGTAGTAGATTCTATACTGATAGCGGACCAATCAGAATGCAGGATTCTAAATTTTCATGGCGGGATCGATCTTAACATTTCCAGCGCTTCCTCTTTATAGTGCCTCTTCTATCCTGATATATTTACAGAACAATAAACATTATTTTACCGTCTGCAGACATTTTCAGAAGGCCTGACTTACCATTGAACATAGTTGTGATATTGTAGTGAGTGAGTGAGTGAGTTGGATTTGACGCCGCTTTTAACAGTATTGCAGTTATATCGCGGCGTGTCAGCTTAATGTGGGAGGAAAGCCCAAAGTGATGCAGGTCTCAGACGTAGACCACTTCGGTGAAACCCACGAGCACGGGTATGGCGCTGACAAACCTAGAAATGTAATCGGGGCGAACCGGGATTCGAACCCACAATCATAGGTTTTTGGCGTGCCCAAGGGACGCAATTCTGCACAGCGAATCGTGGCGCCTTAGACGACTGGGCCACCCATGCCCCCTGTGATATTGTAATGAAGAACACACATGCTTATTATTAGGCTAAAAATATAATAGTCTTGGTTCTCAGGCACTGCCCACATCATCATAAGGTTTGCTGCACCTTTTATTTCAGTTTTTTTTTAAAAATCCTTAAATATTCAGTCCAGGGTAGTCAAATACTGTATTCCAGTATTTTACTCATCAAGGAATACTTTATGTAGGCCTTTCCCAGGTTGATTGTACACAACTGTTTATTTGCTTACATATTTTCAAAAGCCATTGCCTGAGATCCAATTCTTTTATATTTTTAAGCCCCACTGAATAAATCTGTGTAGCTCACCCTGATAGCTCGAAAACATCGTGGCACACTTGATACTATCTGCTCCTTCCCCTCTACACTGAGGACCATGAAATATTTTAATATTGTTCATTTTTATATGTTTTGACATGTTTAACTTGTCCATCCAATGAAATGTCTCAGCAACCATAGGGAGTTGCAGCGCCCTCCAGTGGTCAATAATGGTACCATTCTTCCAGAACTCTTGCACAGTGTGTGTGTCCAGGAACCAGCCCAGCCTGGAATGAAAATGTTTTAACTCATGAGGCCTTGAAGTGGGGGAGTGAACTTTGTTATAACATATTAAAGGTACAATTTACGAGCAAAGAGGAATTACATGTTATCTTTACTAAGTTCCCTGAGGGCCCAAACCTTGGCAAATATAACCGTATGGGTGTGACAAGCTTTCAGGTGTAACACAATCATATACAACATCAGGTGTAACACAATCATAAACAACATCCAGGTGTAACACCATCATATACAACATCAGGTGTTACACCATCATATACAACATCAGGTGTAACACAATCATATACAACATCCAGGGGTAACACCATCATATACAACATCAGGTGTTACACCATCATATACAACATCAGGTGTTACACCATCATATACAACATCAGGTGTAACACAATCATATACAACACCCAGGTGTAACACCATCATATACAACATCAGGTGTTACACCATTATATACAACATCAGGTGTTACACCATTATATACAACATCAGGTGTTACACCATCATATACAACACCCAGGTGAAACACCATCATATACAACATCCAGGTGTAACACTATCATATACAACACCCAGGTGTAACACCATCATATACAACACCCAGTTGTAACACTATCATATACAACACCCAGGTGTAACACCATCATCTACAACATCAGGTGTTACACCATCATATACAACATCAGGTGTAACACCATCATCTACAACATCAGGTGGAACACCATCATAAACAACATCAGGTTGAACACCATCATATACAACATCCAGGTGTAACACCATCATATATACAACATTAGGTGTAACACCATCATATACAACATCCAGGTGTAACACCATCATATACAACACCCAGGTGTAACACCATCATATACAACATCCAGGTGTAACACCATCATATACAACACCCAGGTGTAACACTATCATAAACAACATCAGGTGGAACACCATCATATACAACATCCAGGTGTAACACCATCATATACAACATCAGGTGTAACACCATCATATACAACATCCAGGTGTAACACCATCATATACAACATCCAGGTGTAACACCATCATATACAACATCAGGTGTAACACCATCATATACAACATCCAGGTGGAACACCATCATATACAACATCCAGGTGTAACACCATCATATACAACATCAGGTGTAACACCATCATATACAACATCAGGTGGAACACCATCATATACAACATCCAGGTGTAACACCATCATATATACAACATTAGGTGTAACACCATCATATACAACATCCAGGTGTAACACCATCATATACAACATCCAGGTGTAACACCATCATATTCAACACCCAGGTGTAACACCATCATATACAACACCCAGGTGAAACACCATCATATACAACATCAGGTGCAACACCATCATCCACAACATCACTGGTCTTATTGACAAATCACACTTACAGTTTTAGAAGTTAGTAGGCACCCTGATCCACTCGATACTGGGGGCAATAGTATTTCCACACCAGAGCAACTTTTGTTAAGAACAATATATCAATGAAAGACTACAGAGGGAGCACCTCACCTCCTCCCCGAGGGCCCGAACGGCCCACAGTCCAACACCTGCCCAGTGTTGATCCATGGCGCCTCATTAAATGCAGCCGGCATCCAGACCTCCAAGTTCACCATGGTCTCCGGAATGGAGTCCTTGCTAATCTGCTGCAAGCTGCACCTGTCGGGACAAACATACTCCTCGATGACCTGCCTGTTCCATGGGAGCGTTTTACTCATTCAATTATTATCCATATTCACAATTCTTTAAGGTCCACATTTCACAAGCCTTTCCAGACCTCTTTTCCTGACTACATTTCAATCTTACATGCCTATGTATACATGTTCCAGTGAGTGAGGCTTGATGCCACTTTAGGATTATTCCAGCAATATTATGGCAGGACACCTGGAATGAGCTTCACACATTGTACCCATGTGGGGAATCAAACCTTGGCACCTTCGGCAGGATGGGCAAACGCCTTCACCATTGGGCTACGCAACCACCCCTAATATGTTCCTTATTTTATAACCTTTCCATTACCTGAGAATATCTTCTTAAATTTTGTTTTCTTCATTTCCTTTTTGAGGTGAGGTGAAATGGGGTTTAATGCCACGTCCAAGATTATTGCACTTATATAGCGACGTGCATGTACGTGTATGTGTGTGTGTGTGGCTGCTTGTACTAGTCCGGATTGATGCCGATTTATAGTGCTAGCTCACTGAGATACCATGCTGCAGTTTAACATGAATATCCCACTTAGACACAGTATACTGACTCCGAGCCGACCAGTCCTTGTTTTAGTCCCTTTGTCCAGCACCAGACAGGGAAACAACAAGTATTATCTTTTAATGTCTTTTAATATAACACGGTTGGGATCATACCCCGGACCTTCTGCTCTCCGGGGAGATGCTCTACCATAAGACCACGGATGCGGTCATTTACTTTTCGATTAAGAGAACATCGTTTCTTGGGTTCAGATATGATCAGGTTGGGTTAGCCAAGTAAATGTTTTTAAGATTCAAACTGAAAGAGTAAGGTCAGGCTGGAACCAATACACTTTTATTGTAAACCCAAAACATAGTGTCAAACCATTTCTGTTTATCTATAGCATTTAATAAACACAACTGTAACTGTTACAAGGTGAGAAGATAAAATAAAACAATTGTATCATTGCAAATGACTGTTGTTTGTTTGATTGTTGTTTAATGCCGAACTCAGCACTATTCCAGCTGTATGACAGCAGTTTTTAAATAATTGAGTCTGGACAAGACAATCCAGTGATTGACATCATGAGCATCAGTCCACGCAATTGGGATACGATGACATGCATCAACCAAGTCAGCGGGGCTGACCACCCAATCCTGTTAGTCGCCTCTTACACAAGCCAAGTTCCCTATTATGACAAGCTAGGGTTGCTGAAGACCTATTGTAACCCAGATCTTCACTGGAAGTACTGTTTCAACAATTCACACAAAGAGTTCTATAAACAGAGTAATATTCTCACTGTTGGAGGTTTGGGCATCCGATGATTCTGTTGAGTATTTGTGTGGCGTTGATGGAGTTCTGGTTGTTGACCTTGACGGAGTACCCCATCGTCTCGGCCAGGAGGATCTTGAGGATGGCGTTGGCCACCATGTGGGTGAACCTGTTGCTGCCCTCCAGGATGATGGACAGGTTCTTCTCGTTGTGATACAGGGACCGGTGCTGGTAGTACTCTGAAACAGGCACACCAATATATTGCAGTGTTCGAAATAAAGCATGAATGTGATTTCTTTATTTGTTGTTTAACGCTGTACTTGGCAATATTCCAGCTATATGACAGTGATCTGTAAATAATCATCTGGACCAGACAATCCAGTGATTGACATCATGAGTATCGATCCACGCAAGTGGGATACAATGACATGGATCGACCAAGTCAGCGGGACTGACCACCCGATCCCGTTAGTCACCTCTTACGACAAGCATAGTCGCCTACTACGGCCATCTTCCTGAGCCAAGAGAGTTAACATACTATAAAAGTCTAGTTTCCACCCTTGCCGAACTAGGCTGGTATTATGGAGTTACATTTTGGCTGGACTAACGAGTCTATGCATAGTCCAATCAAAATCGTGCACCAAAATCGAAATCCGGTTCATAAACTGTTGTGCAGATTTCGGTCGAGTGCAGGTTTTGCAAAGCATGTGCACCGCCAACTTGTTGTCAGCAGATATTTTCCAAATCTTTTCATGTTTTTAATCTAGGTGCTCACGTTATTTGGTGCATTTCGTGATGTAAGACCCGTTTTATCACAATATAGATCTTGATTATCGATCAGATCGTCCTGACCGAGCGCCACCATTTTGTGTGAAGCAAACACAAGTGATACGAGGGGTGGAATCTGATTGGTCCATAGGAGAGGCTTAGAAGCGACATAACTGGCAATAGCCACTGGTGGCGCTAGGATCGAGCCCATTAATTCCAGCCTAGTTCGGCAAGGGTGGAAACTGGACTTTTAAAGTCAGTTAACTCTCTTGCCTCGGGAAGATGACTACAGCAAGCATGGGTTTTCTGAAGACCTATTCTAACCTGGATTTCAAGGGTGCGTGATGTGAAGGCTCCTTGTCATAACCCCTTATGTTTAGATTTAGGGGGTCCCTAGATTGGAACACTATAGGTGCATAGGACCCCTGGACCCTCTTTACTTTTGCACTGTATTGACATGATTGAGTCACAAGGGTTAAGAGTTAATGTGAGCGATGAATTAGTCCAAGGTATAAATATTCTGGAGGAGGGATAAAAACAGACAGTGACAGTTAACAGTATTCCAGTTATATCGCAGCGTGTCAGCTTAATGTGGGAGGCAAGCCTGAAGTGATGCAGGTCTCAGACATTAACCACTTCGGTGAAATCCACGAGCACGGGTGTGGTGCTGACAAACCTAGAAACATAATCGGGGCGAACCGGGATTCGAACCCACAATCAGAGTTTTCTGACGTGCCAAGGGACGCAACTCAGCACAGCGAATCGCGGCGCCTTAGACGACTGGGCCACCCGTGCCCCCTCTGGAGGAATGAAAATTCATATTTAGAAAATGACCAAGAGAAGGAAATACTGTCCTCATCCCAGGTATATTGTTCCCGAGAACCAATACTCCAGAACAAAAGTTCAGGGGGAACAAATTGACTCTCACAGTAACAAGGTTTCACTGTCTTGAGCTTAAATTCTTGGGTTAACCAGTTAACAAGTGCAGACTATTTGACACAAACAGCCTTGAAGGGGTTAACTAGTGCATACTTTTTGACACACACAGCCCTTGGGAGTTAACTAATTCAGACACAATGACAGTCTTGAAGGGGTTAACTAGTCCAGACACTGAGACACAACCTCAAAGGGTTTAACTAGTGCAGACCACATTACACCACTCACAGCCTTGAAAGGGTTAACTAGTTCAGACACTATGATGTCTCGAAGGGTTAACAACAACCCTCCGTCTGAGAACTCAAAGATTGGAAAGGCAACGTTAGTGTTGTCAGTGCAACTGCTGCCAAACAGCAGGTAGCTTGAAAACAAGGAGTCTTTGTCTGACGAGCCAGTCATTTATTGAAACTACTGTAGAGCTGTCACCTGCACTGCGTCAGTGCCCGGCAACACACACCTGGAGACACAATGTGCTCATGTACACCACTGACCACTCATGGGTGGGGAACACAACTGTTCGTGTTTTATGACCCAGCCTGTAGATAATCAACTCTGAACCAGACAGTCCAGTGATTGATAATTCAGGGTGCAGTGATACACTACCAACCTTATCAACTGACCACCCGATCCACAATGTCATCTCAAATTACCAGGTCCCCATCTCTAATGTCCAGGTCCCCATCTCTAATGACCAAGTCCCCATCTCTAATGACCAGGTCCCCATCCCTAATGTCCAGGTCCCCATCTCTAATGACCAAGTCCCCATCTCTAATGACCAGGTCCCCATCTCTAATGGTGAGGTCCCCATCCCTAATGACCAGGTCCCCATCTCTAATGACCAGGTCCCCATCTCTAATGACCAGGTCCCCATCTCTAATGGTGAGGTCCCCATCTCTAATGACCAGGTCCCCATCCCTAATGGTGAGGTCCCCATCCCTAATGACCAGGTCCCCATCCCTAATGACCAGGTCCCCGTCCCTAATGACCAGGTCCCCATCCCTAATGTCCAGGTCCCCATCTCTAATGACCAAGTCCCCATCTCTAATGACCAGGTCCCCATCCCTAATGACCAGGTCCCCGTCCCTAATGACCAGGTCCCCGTCCCTAATGACCAAGTCCCCATCCCTAATGTCCAGGTCCCCATCTCTAATGACCAAGTCCCCATCTCTAATGACCAGGTCCCCATCTCTAATGACCAGGTCCCCATCCCTAATGTCCAGGTCCCCATCCCTAATGTCCAGGTCCCCATCCCTAATGACCAGGTCCCCATCCCTAATGGTGAGGTCCCCATCCCTAATGGTGAGGTCCCCATCCCTAATGACCAGGTCCCCATCCCTAATGACCAGGTCCCCGTCTCTAATGTCCAGGTCCCCATCCCTAATGTCCAGGTCCCCATCTCTAATGACCAAGTCCCCATCTCTAATGACCAGGTCCCCATCCCTAATGTCCAGGTCCCCATCTCTAATGACCAAGTCCCCATCTCTAATGACCAGGTCCCCATCCCTAATGTCCAGGTCCCCATCTCTAATGACCAAGTCCCGGGCATCTCTAATGGGGACCGAATCCCACAGGGGACAGAACACAGATATGGTGATTAAACAAATATTTGTTTGTTGTTTTACACCAAAATCAGCACTTTTCCATCCATATCACCGTATTGATGGAGCCAATGTTAGCCCAAGGAATGGATGGACACACTGTTAGCACAAGGAATGGATGGACAAACTGTTAGACCAAGGAATGGATGGACCCACTGTTGGACCAAGAAATGGATGGACCCACTGTTGTTCCAAGGAATGGATGGACACAAGGTTGGTCCAAGGCATGGATGGACCAATTGTTGGACCAAGGAATAGATGGATCCACTGTTGGACCAAGAAATGGTTGAACACAAAGTTGGTCCAAGGAATGAATGGACACACTGTTGGACCAAGGGATGGATGGACCAACTGTTGGGCCAAGGAATGGATGGACCCACTGCTGGTCCAAGGAATGGATGGACACACTGTTGGTCCAAGGAATGGATAGACCCACTGTTGGGCCAAGGAATGGATGGACCGACTGTTGGGCCAAGGAATGGATGGACCCACAGTTGGGCCAAGGAATGGATGGACAAACTGTTAGACCAAGGAATGGATGGACACACTGTTGGGCCAAGGAATGGATGGACCCACTGTTGGGCCAAGGAATGGATGGACACACTGTTGGGCCAAGGAATGGATGGACACACTGTTGGGCCAAGGAATGGATGGACACTCTGTTGGGCCAAGGAATGGATGGACACACTGTTTGGCCAAGGAAAGGATGGACCTGCTGTTGGGTCAAGGAATGGATGGACCCACTGTTGGGCCAAGGAATGGATGGACACACTGTTGGGCCAAGAAATTAATGGACACACTGTTAGCACAAGGAATGGATGGACACACTGTTTGTCCAAGGAATGGATGGACCTGCTTTATGGCCAAGGAATGGATGGACAGAAGGTTGGGCCAAGGAATGGATGGACCCACAGTTGGGCCAAGGAATGAATGGACCTGCTGTTGGGCCACGGAATGGATGGACAAACTGTTGGGCCAAGGAATGGATGGACCCACTGTTGGGCCAAGGAATGAATGAACACACTGTTCGGCCAAGGAATGGATGGACACACTGTTCGGCCAAGGAATGAATGGACACACTGTTGGGCCAAGGAAAGGATGGACCTGCTGTTGGGCCAAGGAATGGATGGACACAAGGTTGGGCCAAGGAATGGATGGACACACTGTTGGGCCAAGAAATTAATGGACACACTGTTTGTCCAAGGAATGGATGGACCTGCTTTTGGGCCAAGGAATGGATGGACCCACAGTTTGGCCAAGGAATGAATGGACCTGCTGTTGGGCAAAGGAATGGATGGACACAAGGTTTGGCCAAGGAATGAATTGACACACTGTTCAGCCAAGGAATGGATGGACCCACTGTTGGGCCAAGGAATGAATGGACACTCTGTTGGACCAAGGAATGGATGGACCCACAGTTGGGCCAAGGAATGGATGGACCCACTGTTGGACCATGGAATGGATTGACACACGGTTGGGCCAAGGAATGGATGTACACACAGTTGAGCCAAGGAATGGATGGACCAACTGTTGGTCTAAGGAATGGATGGACCAACTGTTGGGCCAAGGAATGAATGAACACACTGTTCGGCCAAGGAATGAATGGACCCACTGTTGGGCCAAGGAAAGGATGGACCTGCTGTTGGGCCAAGGAATGGATGGACAAAAGGTTGGGCCAAGGAATGGATGGACACACTGTTGGGCCAAGAAATTAATGGACACACTGTTTGTCCAAGGAATGGATGGACCTGCTTTTGGGCCAAGGAATGGATGGACCCACAGTTTGGCCAAGGAATGAATGGACCTGCTGTTGGGCAAAGGAATGGATGGACACAAGGTTTGGCCAAGGAATGAATTGACACACTGTTCAGCCAAGGAATGGATGGACCCACTGTTGGGCCAAGGAATGGATGGACACTCTGTTGGACCAAGGAATGGATGGACCCACAGTTGGGCCAAGGAATGGATGGACCCACTGTTGGGCCATGGAATGGATTGACACACGGTTGGGCCAAGGAATGGATGTACACACAGTTGAGCCAAGGAATGGATGGACCAACTGTTGGTCTAAGGAATGGATGGACACAAGGTTGGGCCAAGGAATGGATGGACCAACTGTTGGGCCAAGCAATGGATGGACCGACTGTTGGGCCAAGGAATGGATGGACCAACTCTTGGGCCAAGGAATGGATGGTCACACTGTTGGGCCAAGGAATGGATGGACACACTGTTGGGCCAAGGAATGGATGGACACACTGTTGGGCCAAGGAATGGATGGACCCACTGCTGGTCGAAGGAATGGATGGACCTACTGTTGGGCCAAGGAATGAATGGACCAACTGTTGGGCCAAGGAATGGATGGACACACTGTTGGGCCAAGGAATGGATGGACCCACTGCTGGTCGAAGGAATGGATGGACCTACTGTTGGGCCAAGGAATGAATGGACCAACTGTTGGGCCAAGGAATGGATGACATGACAATGGCCTAAATAATCAAGTATGGACCAGGCAATCCAGTGATTGACGTCATGAGCATCAATCTCCACATTTGGGATACAACGACATATGTTAACTAAGTCAGCGAGTCTGACAACCCAATCCCATTAGTCACCTCTTGTGACAAGAATGGGTTACTGAAAGACCAATTCTACCCTGGATCTTCACATAATACATAAGCTCACAAGGTTTGTTTGTTTGCTTGTTGTTCCAGCTATATGAAAACAGTATGTAAATAATCGAGTCTGGACCAGACAATCCAGTGCTTGATATCATGAGCATTGATCCACACAATTGGGAAACAATGACATGCATCAACCAAGTCACCAGCCTCACCACCTGATTCGTTAGTTGATTCTTTGGACAAGCATGGGTTGCTGAAGACCAATTCTATCCCCTATCTTCACAGGTTAGCTCACAAGGTACAAATACAGGAAGTTCAATCTTACCTGGTTGTTTGTGGAAACAACGGCAGAATACCGCCGACACCAGCGCCACCAGAACAAGTGACGACTTCATGACAGCGCCAACTGTCACAACGCCACAGAGTATAGATGTCTTGAGTAGAGGGAGATAACTCTCATCATGGTATATCTCGTCTGACAGCACCGTAAGTCGATCACCATCTGGTTGCTTGTGCTGTGTCACAGAGTTCCTTTGTCCGGGTTCAAGACAAGCCCGTCTTACAATGACGCTCAACAATGTCAACTAATGAAGTCACAGACGTACCATGGGGTCACGTCAGTGTCATTGTCAGAAAAAGGTTTTCAATAAATCGAAACCAATTTACTGCGAATCCATAACATACACCGTTGTCAATATAATCCATACGAAACACAAGGACACAAAATGAAACACAATCTTGTTTTAGTACCCATCTCAGGCTTCAAACATAATCCTCACAGCAGTAGTCCACACGATATTGTCGAGTTCCGTCATAGGTGAGTTGTTGCCATTGTTTCATCTGTGAGGGTAATCTCACTGTCTAAACAGCAAACTCTGTATTCAGTCAGTCTGTTGCCTAGGTTACGATTAATTCATACCCATTTAATCACCTTTGGTTTGTTCCTTGCTGGCAATGTTGATTTAACGTGCCAATCACACACCAATATATATCTAATCTTGATTAGGGCAGACGGCAAATTTCTCCAAGGAAATGAAACACACATTCGGATAATATCTGCCGGATATCAGAGCTTGTTGAATAATTGAGTCAATGATATGGTCTGTTTTTATCACATTTTTATCACAAAGTCAACAAAGCTTCTATCATCACAAGCCAATATCAATGCTCTAAGCAACCAATGAAAAACAGTTGTCAGCCATCAGTATCCGGACCTTCAGCTATGTCCCATAAACACACTCGTAAAACAGGAGCCTTCAATCACGAACATTAGTCTCTAACTCGATGTATACAACAGCTAGGGACTGAGCTGATGCCACTATTAAACAACGCACAAATAGTGATCCCTTGGGCTTAAATACACCAGTCCTTGACAATGGGAGCCCTATTGTTCTTGAGTATCAGCACCTGGTAACAAATTACTTACTCATCAAAAGATGAATAAGTTTTGCATGTAAGTTCAGTAATCAATCACACAGGATTGACAGACTGAGTGCAGTTAATTTGTCCACACGAGTTAATCAATGACAAGTCTTTGGCAAAGTCTTCCCTTTCATGGAACATGAATGATTAACACATCCTTGCAAAAACAAGAAACTAACAATTCAAGAACTTCTTGGCTTGAGGGTTAGAAGTCACTGTATGGAATGATTAGTGTGTAAAAATATGGAAACATGATTATTTTTTGGATCACAACTATTTGGCATAAACCCTGACAATACCGTATGGAATCATTGATATGTAAATATGATGTGTCTATATTTCCACATATGAACATCAAATGTGGACAGTAACAACGTGCAAAGGAATTTTAGAACTAATAATTCATCAGGTTACTTTCTAAGTAATAACTTCTTACAGACTTTAAATAGGTTCATGGAGAGAATGGGTTCCTAAAATCGGAGTTGTCTGATTTGTAGACAAGGATCTGTAGCTACAGACAAAGATTTGCAGTTCTGTTGTTGTGGAGTCAACATATGTAGATCTGTTGCTATGGTCACAAAATCTGTAGATCTGTTGCTATGGTCACAAAATCTGTAGATCTGTTGCTATGAACACAAAATCTGTAGATCTGTTGCTATGGCGACAAAATCTGTAGATCCGGTTTTTTGGAGAAAAGGGTTATCCACAGATTGGGGGACTTTGTTACAGATCAGCTTCTGAGGTTAATGTAGACTTGCTTTCTTGAAGAAGTTAAGTAGATTTTGTGTGATATTCGATGCTGCCATGGTCTTCAGACACCCTACACGTGGTATCCTTGGTTACCACATCAAGAGCAGCTGTTGCTTCTGTTGCCCCCTTTATAATAACCACGTGGATATTGACTCCGCCTTCTTTTTATAACTGAGGGCTCCATATCTGGAAAGACAAAGTTTGATTTAGATGCGATACATGTCATCCATGTTAAGGTAAGGAACAATGAAACAGGGCACATTTTACTGGGTTCACAAAAGGATTTAGTTGGTTTGTTTTTTTACGCCGCACTCAGCAATATTCCAGCTATAGGACGTCTGTCAATAATCGAGTCTGGACCAGACAATCAAGAGATTGATATCATGAGCATCGATCCACGCAATTGGGATACGATGACATGCATCAACTAAGTCAGAGCGTGACCACCCGATCCCATTAGTCGCCTCTTACGACAAGCATAGGATACCAAAATAGGGTGTCTGCTAAACCCAGCTTTGTCAGAATGGATTCAACCCAATGCAAAAATCTGAAAATGAATTCGCGTTATTATGAGTGAGTTACCATCATTATATGCCGGTCGGCAAGATTCTGAGGCCTGCGAATAATCAAGTCTTGATCAAGCAAACAGTGCTTGATAGTATGAGCAACAATCCAGTGTAATATGTTGAATGACAGACAATGAGCATGATCACACTGTAACATATTATGAATTTTATAGCACACTTTCGATATAATAACTACTCAACTCCATGGGGAGTATACAACCCAGGCAACCTGTGCGGAACTTGAAGGTTAACAGTCGCATTCCCATCTCCTCCTACCAGGTACCCTTTCACTGCTGGGTGATCAGAGGCTGTTTTCAAAGTTACTTGTTTAGTAAGTGAGTGAGTTGTGTTTTACGCTGCTTTTAACAGTATTCCAGTTATATCACGGCGCGTCAACCTTAATGTGGGAGGAAAGCTCGAAGTGATGCAGGTTTTAGACATTTACAACTTTGGTGAAACCCAGCGTATCATGGCTGGAGAACACCAGAAATGGGGTTCAAGCACTGTACATGTACCCCATCTTCCCAAGGCTGGGGAGTTAACTGACTACAAAAGTCCAGTTTCCACCCTTGCCAAACAAGGCTGGAATTTCTAGGCTCGATCGTAGCGCCACCAGTGGCTATTACGAGTTACGTCCCTTCTATGTCCCTCTTATTGACCAATCAGATTCCACCTCTCATAGCACTTGCATTTGCTTCCATTGAAATGGCAACCCCCAGTCAAGACGATCTGATTGATAATCAAACTCTACATTGTGATAAAACGGGTCTTACTTCATGAAACGCATCAAATCACGTGAGCACCTTGACTAAAAACATGAAAAGATTTGGAATATATCTGCTGACACAGAGTAGGCAGTACACATGTTAAAACACAAATCCGGCAATCGACCGAAATCTGCATGGCAATTTACAAACCTTTGTTGATGTCATTACTTGAATTTGATTGGACTATGCACAAACACGTTAGTCAAGCCAAAATATAACTCCATAATTCCAGTCTATTTCAGCAAGAGAGGATAATCGACTTTTATAGTCAGTTAACTCCCTTGCCTCGGGAACGTGTGTTGTGTGGACACATCACTGTACAGAGTGTGGTATGATCACAAAAGGTGGTATGATCCTCTGCCAGCAGAGTGAGCCTAGTCAGTGTCTAATACCTGCCTGCTCATCTGTCCGTGACTAGCCGTTTTTGTCTCAAATGGTCAACTTTTAAAACATGTATGTCCAATGGTGAAGCTGATTTGTTTTCTACTTATTGTTAATTAAATAATGGACATGAACTTAAAACATTAATATAAATTATTCTTATTTCTAGTTATTTGTTTCCATTGTTCAGTCCAGATACAAATCTGGATTAGAATAATTTTTAGACAGGTCTACTGGCTGGAATTTATCTGATATATTTTCCACTGTCATTGTGTTAAAGCCGTGGCTAGTCATGCCCAAGACTGGTTACCGTATTCGACGTAATGAGTGCTCACTGCGACATTTGCTAATATATTGGCGCGTGAACAATCCCAATTAGCACCCTTCCGATTGATCAATGTATACAAGACTTATTTATTCGCGTATAATACGCACTCGTGTGTTATATGCACCTTTAATTATGGGTAATTAAATTCTGAAAAATAAATCTGTTGTACATAAACACTTCAGGCTGTCAGCATAAACCACGAAATTTATCTTTTTCACCAAAATAATATTCTAATAAGCGCCCCCTATTTCTAATTTTGAGAGCGCCCTGGGCGCTTATTATGTCGAATACAGTATTATTAAATACGGAGGAAAACAAAAAATAAATAAAGGGCTTGTATTGTCATTCAACATGAACAAGATGAAGACATGAAATTTTGATAAAAATAAAGTAAGCAGTTGAACTGAAAAGTCCATAAATGTTTCACGTCTTAAGGGCAACAGAGACCCAGGGAGGAGTATGCAGTTGATCTTTTGGGTAGGGTTGGGGGGAGTTAGATAGATCTATTTTTACCTCAGTCTATCCACCAAACTATTTATTTCCTTAGCATCGTCATACAATCTATTAACATCATTAGCAAAACAAATTGTTTGACATTTGGATATTTCCAATTATTTTCCTAATAATTTGATTCCAAGAAAATACTGTTATTAAAACCTAAAGTTGAAAATGTAAACAAACTACTCATTTTGATCACCACTGAACAAACTATTCATTCAAAATATACCAGACAATCCAGTGAATGATATCATAAGCATCGACCTACTCAGATGGGACAGGTAGACAACCCAGCGAGCCTCAGCCTCAGACCACCCTGATCCCAATAGTCGCCTGTTACAACAAGCACGGGTTGCTGTAGACCAGTTCTAGCCCGGGTGTTCACAGGGGTAAGTTTCAGCTAAACATGCATAAGTTTCATATCAGCAACACAAACACTTGCCCCACAAACACATTCACAACAGAACACAACACGACTGACCTGGTAAGCCTCTGGACTGTCCACAAAATATTAATAATAGATTGAATCCATACTAACTTAAGATATTATCATTGTGACCTATTTTCAGCCCTGAAAACAAATGAGAACCCACTTATCTCATGCTGTGACTTGTATCATTTACTGCAAGTCTTCAGCTGTAAGCCGATAGCACACAACACTAGTAGGTTAACTCTACATAGAAAATATATACATGAATACGTCACGTTATTTGACAAATAAGGTGTATAATCAACTTTAGCAGAAAATTCAATCATATCTAATTCCATATTACTAAGATTAATTGAGAAATATCTGAATTAGTTGTTTTCTGTGTTTGTTGGTTATTTCCTGACTCGGCAATATTCTAGCAATATAACAGGGGCCATTGCTAATAAAGTATCAACTAGGATAACCACTGATCGATAGCATGAGCAATGTTCCACACCGTCAGCATACAATAACACACTAACAACAATGTCGGACCAGAGCTATAGATAAGCTTTTGGTTATTTGGGTATTTTACCCATGAGTTTGATTTTGATTGGGTATCCACAATTTTTAGAGGGAATTCAAATTCTTACAACCCACCTCTTTCTTGACAATTGGGTATTTTAACTTGAAAACCTGTTTCGTAATAAATCCTGTAAATCATATAAAACTATGTGACTAGTAGTATACCCGTCTGCCTCTGCTTGCGGCTCCCTCTCCGGAAAGCCATTTTTGTTTGCAACACCTAGCATTGTAATACAGGCGCTATTTCTTAAATCACCAATCAGCGACTGTTTAAGATACAACATGTACATTTACTAGACGATGTGCTTTTCAATTGGCATCTATCAGTATGGTTGTCACACAAGCTTTTCCGAATGTAACTGTCAGTTTGTGAATCTCGCGATCGGCTGATACACAATCATTTTATCCAACAGTTGTAATATACGCAATTATTTTATCCAATTGTGGTAATATATGCATTAATTTTATTTCAAAAGCGTATTTATAGTTTTTGTTGCACATTTGATATCCTAGGATTTGATTTGTCTGCATATTTCTATTTATTTAAAGCGTATTTTACTCAAATACGCAGCTTATCTCGAGCTCTGTCTGATCACCTGACCATCCACCTGCCTCTCAACGACGAGCACAGGTTTCATATTCTCACCTGGAATCACCATCATATTTAGTATATTATTATTAAGTCATAATTGATGGACTATTAACAGACTGCTCACTTGACAAATATTATTTTTGCTTGATTCTGGATTCCGACCAGTGGACAGAGTTACAGACTGTACCCAAATGTATACCAGTGACCGATATTATGAGCAACGATTCACTCTTTATCGGGGTATGATGATGCCAAACAACCAAGTCACTGTGCTTGACCACCCGATCCATCTGGTCACCTCTTACGACCACTTCATGCTACACCCCACCCCAACCCCCACCACCAGTATATGACCTGCGCCACCTGTCTGAGGTGTGCTACAAGCACTGTTTTGTCACTTCATGCTACACCCAACCCCCAGCCCAGTATATGACCTGCTCCACCTGTCTGAGGTGTGCTACAAGCACTGTGGTGCTGCTTCATGCTACACCCCACCCCCACCCCAGTATATGACCTGCTCCACCTGTCTGAGGTGTGCTACAAGCACTGTGGTGTCACTTCATGCTAAACCCCAACCCCACCCCCAGTATATGACCTGCGCCACCTGTCTGAGGTGTGCTACAAGCACTGTGGTGCCACTGCATGCTACACCCCACCCCCACCCCAAGTATATGACCTGCGCCACCTGTCTGAGGTGTGCTACAAGCACTGTGGTGCTGCTTCATGCTACACCCCACCCCCACCCCAGTATATGACCTGCTCCACCTGTCTGAGGTGTGCTACAAGCACTGTGGTGCTGCTTCATGCTACACCCCACCCCCACCCCAGTATATGACCTGCTCCACCTGTCTGAGGTGTGCTACAAGCACTGTGGTGCTGCTTCATGCTACACCCCACCCCCACCCCAGTATATGACCTGCTCCACCTGTCTGAGGTGTGCTACAAGCACTGTGGTGCTGCTTCATGCTACACCCCACCCCCACCCCAGTATATGACCTGCTCCACCTGTCTGAGATGCTCTACAAGCACTGTGGTGTCGCTTCATGCTACACCCCACCCC